TCCTACCCTATTAGCCTCGAATTCGATCATACAATTAAACAATCGGTTCGAAACTTCATGAAAGAGAGAGAAAAAGATACCATGTCATGAACAAGGGAAATGAAGCATGAGTGATTCCCTCTCCACCTCTCCACCTTTCCTCATCTTTCTCTTTCATTGTAGCTCTATTATTGCCGACCCAACCGCATCGACCATTATTTGGCTTAACCACTACCGAAATCCAAAAAGCATGCATCAAAAGTATTAAAAAGTTATAACAAAAACACTACAACCAATAATATTACATTTTGATTGCTTTCTCTTGTAACAAAAGATATACAAAATCTAACTGCCTAGACATATAGCAGTTAGAAATTCAACGGCCAGGAAACGAGTCACGTCACCTCCAATTCTGAAGGGCTGAGTGCGCCTACAGCTCATGCCCCAACCGTATTTTTTGTTGATCCACTCGATGTTCTTGGCGTGTGTAATCCACAGGCTTGGCGCAAAACAAATATTCAGGTGGCTGACGTCAGTCTGACGTTAGATCCTCTTAGTCACAAGTTCGAGCTATTCTAACCAGTGTGCTTAGTCGAGCTTCCCAATAGTCCAGTTGATTGGGATGCGGTGGAGGGGTTTTTGGATTTTAGGGGATTTGATTGCCCAATTGCCAACAATTTTCTTGGGATGGACTTGCTCTAATGATGAGGATGCATATGATGATGAGTAGGCGTAGACTAGATTCAAAGTTCGACCCACCAATATTAAAAAAAAAAAAAAAAAAAAAACAAACTAGGTTTGAGGGCCAACATTACTCGAGGCATGCTATCATGATAAGGATTCGACACAAATTAGTTTAAAAGGAGGGAAGGGAAAAAAAAAAGAAAGATACGTACGTTGGGAATCATGTGTGTTTGTGCTTCACCACCTTTTATTGAGCTAATTGTTTTGCAACCTTGACTTGTGGAGATGGAAGTTTTCTTTATCTTTATTTTTTCCTTTTTCTTTTCCTTTTTTGTTCAACTTAAAGTCGGTGTTTATATTCTACATGTGATCTCCACCCTTTTTAACCCTCACATTACGCAGAATCTCTCTCTCTCTCTCTCTCTCTCTCTCTCTCTCTCTCTCTCTCTCTCTCTCTCTCTCTCTCTTTACAGTTTACACCTTTGTTTTTCCCTTTTCGGGAATCTCTCCCTCATCACCCCAACAAACATATAAAACCAACCTTTGAATATGTCTTCCTTCCATTCGTCTCTTTCACCAATACATAAAACCAAACTCATATTTGCAAATGCATGCATGAGATAGAGGAGGATATTTCCATGACACCGTTACAATGTTACTATAACATATTTTTCACGTAACGTTATATTATTGACACGAAATACTATAATAACAATATATTTATGTTATATAAATCGATAATGAACATGGTTCTGTCTCATTGCAGAAGCTATAAGATAATGAAAGGAGACTTTTCCATTCGGCTTTGAATTAATACCGTGCTAGAATTGTTATGACAACCAAGTGTGATGCTTACTGCTGCTGCTGCTGCTTTCTGATGGGGTCTGCTGTGATGGGGCTATCATTATTTCTTGTATTGGAAACATACCTTACTTGTGCTCAGGATGCTTGGAATTTGGAAAATATATATGTCTGCTTTATATATATGCAATCTTTTTCTCCTCCCTCTCTCTCCTTCCATTTGCGAAAGTAAAATTTGACCGTTTGGTGGGAAAGTGAGGGAGAAGTGGCATTCATTCATGGGGCCTGCATGGTGGGGTCGGGTCCTTTGGAGAGCAGCCGCGGACCCACTCGAGCCACATGATTCTGTAGTCATCTATTAATATCCAGTAACTCTGAGAACAAAACTGGAAAAAGTAAGTCGAGAGATACTTTCTTTTCACCGATTTATCAAGTGATAAGTCTCTCTTGAATAATAATTAATTTTTTTAAAGAGAATTATTATCGATATTTTAAAATTTTTATTTTGCATCTTAAAATTTTTATAATTAAAAAATATATATATTAATGAGGAATGTAAGATAAGATTTTTGAAATTAATAACAGTTTTCCTTCTATCTGCGTGACAATTAATTATTCGAATTTGTTTCTATAGTGTTTTGTGATAGTTTTGTAGTGGTGTCATTTGTAGTTTTGTGCATGTCGTAGTCGTGTAAGAGTTTATTCTTGTTCGTTGTTTGTGCAAATTCACTCAAAATCAATTTCTTAGTTACTTAAGTTATGTACCCTACCTAATTCGGACTTTTGTACTCTGTATATTTATTTGTAAAAACAATGAAATACCACTCTATTGTTTTTTTATTAAAGAAAAAAGTTTTCTATCTCTTTCTAATTATTGAACAAAATTAAATGGGATTCTCACCATGAACTGAAGTTACCCCCACAACAAAGTACGAAACTGGGAACATTGAATGATAACACAAATGCAAAAGAAAGAAGGGAAGTGAGGGACCTGGAAATGGGGTTTGGGAACTTTTAATTTGGATATGGAAAGGGAATGTGATGTATACTTGTGATGACAAAAGAAAATAAACAAAAGTAATGCTTGGAACGATCAGAAACGAGGCCTATTTCCCAATGCATGCATGCATCTCTCTCTCTTTCCGTCTCACTCTGGCTCTGTGTGTGTTTTTGGTCATAGGTGGGTGTCTGCCTGCAGGCTTAACATGTACATTTCAATACTACTTCGGGACAAGTCCATTTCACATTTAATTTCTCATATGTATAATATAATAATTCACAATTCAATCGACAGACGAGAGAGAGAGATACTTGTCCCGATCGAAACTACCTCACCACCAACAGCCAGCCATAATATAGGGTTTTTATTGCATATATTTTCTAGATCGATTAATTTAGTCTTTGAAATTTACCGTTCATCAATTTGGTCCTTTCTTAAACTTTTGTTAGAAATTTGTTAGTATGCTCACGTGGAACCAGTGGTTCCAATAATATGGTGACACGCAAAATATATTAGAAAAGAATTTTAAAATTTAAAACAATTGGAAAATAAAATAATAAGAGATTTTTTTAATACATCGATATTTTTACACTAAGAAGAGGGATAGTTCGACTAAGCCAGACAATGGGCAACCTAATTTGGTATCAAATTTGTCATTCATGAGATTCGAACTTAAAACCTGACACTTCTAAGTAAAGAGATACCACCCGATTGTAGTACCGAATGACAAATAATAACAGAATCTAAAAAAAAAAAAAAAAAGGTCAAAATGCGGAAGAATCGTGCCAAGGACATATCAGTCCCAAGGTTGCCTCCATGACCGATTTTTTTTTTTAATTTTTTTTTAATTATTTATTAAAGTTTGTACATTGTATCGATTTGGGTACCCCTCCATGTTCTTCGAGATGTGAAACCCTGCACTACCAAATCACAAATCAAAACTAGGGTTTAATCGACCTAGAAATCAAAATCCTGCACTACCACCTCACAAATTATAGTAAGAGTTTTAACATAATTTTATAATATTGACATAAAAATTAACGTTTGATTGTGAGATGATAGAGAGTCTATGGAGAGTCACACTTTAAACAAGTCTCTTCAGCATTTCTCATTTCTAATTTACCTAGCTTTAGAGGACTATCCATAATTATTTGTAACAAACGAGGCTTTATGGTTAATTTACCAAACTACTTTTTTTTTTTTTTTTGTACAAACGATATTATCTACATACTAAGGGATTTGGTGAACGTAGCCTTAAAATGAATTATTAATAATGTGGTTCATGGTTTAGTACTTTGATTTCTGGTGAGGAAGTTGGTAATACCACTAGATCGTCGTATAAGTATAAGTAGGCTCCCAGACTACTTGATTAATGGTTTGGTACTTTGATTTCTGGTCATTCTTTTTGCTTTCTGCTCACTTTCCAACAGACGCTATTGGGCTCTTAATCCACTCTTCCTAAAGGAGGATCCAACCACGAAACTTGAAGGGCCAATGTTCTATGGAAACTATTTACCCCCACTATTCTTCCCTAGGGCCCAAATGATATACTTATGAAATGGGTCCTTAACTAATTGGAAATTGAATACCGGTGTACAAGTAATCTTAACCGCAGTCAATATGTGTGTATTGAAACATGGACTTGTTCGAAAGTATTTTTAAAATAACTGAAAATGTAGAGAAAATATTTTTGAGTTTCAAATCACTTAAAAATGTTTACTGCAAGAAGCGTCAGTTATGTGCTTCTTGCATGAAGCACTTCAAGTGTTTTTTCATGATTCACTTGCATTTGTATTAGGAATTGGTTCAAAAAATAATTTCACCAAAAAAGCTTTTAGTCATTTTAAAAACATTTTCAAGCAAGCCTTATATAGATATGGTTTCTGGTCAAGTTGCCTAGGCTTATACAGCAAAGTTTAGAGGCTGATAAAAACAAATTATTACCAAATTAATGCTACAATTATCTTCTGAGCATTACTGAAAGTCAAATAGTTAGTCAACCCTTAAACAAAATGGCAAATTTGGTATGGTTCATCAGTGCGTTTATGATTTCGTGTTCATCAGTGCGTTTATGATTTCGTGGACTTTTCAACAAATACAAGTCAAGCCGTCCACAGAAACACACATGCATATAATATATACTATATATTTTTGTATGGAAAATGATCCTCGCCGGATTCATTTTCTGAGGATCTTAGGGATCTCATGATCGGAACTGTTCATCGTACATCGTGCAGTCAGAAATCATTTTAAAATTTAAAATTAAATATAAATAGTATCTAACAAAAACAGACCGCACGATGTACGATGAACAGATGCGATCACAGGATCCCTAGCATTCCTAGGAAAAGTATCCAACGAAGATCTTTTTCCTTTTTGTATCACCATGTGAATAGGAATTGCAGATGACGTTTTGACGCGGTGTTGAAAAGTAATAAGCAATCATGCATATGCATTCCCGGAGATCTTGTACGAGTTCAATTCTACTGACTTATCCCTTCCCTAATAACTAACTATTTATTCCACTAATGCTGTCGCTCTGCTAAAAAGTAATAGGAATTGTGTAGAAATATTAGTCTTATGTTTGTGAAAACGTGAATGGGACTTAATTCCAGTTAATTCACATCACATGTATACAAAGAAAAATCTCAATTAAGATATGCTTACATCTTCTGCTGCCCATCCTCATCACTAGTGCTGCAACATTTTCCACAGCATATAAGGTCAACACAACAAGAACATTTGCGTCCATGGAGATGGTGAGACCATAGTCTCAGATGGTGGCACCTTTGAGCTTGGTTTATTAAGTCGCGGTGCTTTGTAAAACCGCTACGTTGGGATATGGTACAAGAAGATACCAGTTATGACGTTGTTTGTGTAGCTAACAGGTTATTCGCCGTTCTGAAGTTCACCAACCCCGAAATTCTTGTCCTTGTCAACCAGAACAACACAGTTTGGTCCTCCAACACATCAAGACCTACACAAAATCCAGCGGCACGACTTTTTGATTCGGGAAATGTTGTGATACATGGTCATACTGTTACCCTGGTGCTACGATGCATGAACACGGAACCGTCGGGCTACGGTAACATCATTCTTTGACTGAATCCAAACCTACTTCGACAATTTTCTCAGTTTCACGTTGGAGAACAATTTGTTTTCCTTCGGAATACGCCCAATTATTCAACAATATTGAAGGAAGTCAAAAATAATTATTCGACAGTATTGAAGGAAGTCTAAAATAATTGGTTTTTTGCAGGAAAAGGAATTCATGTTATTTGAATAAGGCCTTCAAATGACAGGTAAAAATGCATATCACACATGTGGGAGGAAGGGTATAGAGGGACAATTGAGGTCTTTAATATTCAGTGATTTCCCATGAATTTAATGGAAAATCCATTGAAAGCTTCAACTAAGATGTGCTTGCTTCTTTTCTACTCTTCTTTGCTGCTCATCATCGCAGCGCTATTCTCTGCAGCCGATGACGCCACAAGCACATTTCAGTCCATTGCAGATGGTGAGACCATAGTCTCAGATGGTGGCACCTTTGAGCTTGGTTTTTTCAGTCCCGGTGCTTTGAAAAACCGCTACGTTGGGATATGGTACAAGAAGATATCTGTTACAACCATTGTATGGGTTGCCAACAGAGACACACCCGTCACTGATTCATCCGGCGTTCTGAAGGTCACCAACCCCGGACTTCTTGTCCTTCTCAGCCACAATATGAGCACGGTTTGGTCCTCCAACACATCGAGAACTGCACAGAATCCAGTGGCACGTCTTTTGGATTCGGGTAATCTTGTCGTCATAGATGGGAGTGATGTTGACCCTGAGAATTATCTGTGGCAAAGTTTTGACTACCCGGGCGATACATTCTTACCAGGTGCAAAGCTTGGTAGGAACACAGTTACAGGCTTCAATTGGCATTTTAGATCATGGAAAAGTCCTCAGGATCCTTCTCATGGAAATTATACATATCAACTTGGTCCCAAAGGATATGCAGAAAAATTTGTGAGGGAAGGTTCAGTCATAAAATTTCGGTCTGGACCATGGACTGGAGTCCATTTCCAGTTCAGTGGAACGCCTCAGTTAAATACAAACCCCATATACACATACAGTCTTGTTTCTGAGCCTGATGAAATTTACTATAGTTACAAGCTTCACAACAACTCTATCCTTTCGAGGGTGGTGTTAACTTCAGATGGAATTGTGCGGCGCTACACATGGATTGATAGAACCAAAGGTTGGCTGCTTCAACTAATAGCACAAATTGATAACTGTGACAACTATGCATTATGTGGTGTATATGGTGCATGTAACATTGAAAAGGCCCCGGTATGTAGCTGCTTGAAAGGATTTAAACCAAAGTATCCTAAAGAATGGGATTTGGTGGATTGGTCTAATGGCTGTGTGAGAAATGCTCCGCTGAATTGCAGTGGAGACGTGTTCATACAGTACTCGGGGATCAAATTGCCTAGCACAGAACAGTCCTGGCATAACAGAAGCATGAACCTCAAGGAATGTGAGATGGTGTGCAGAAAGAACTGCTCCTGCACAGCTTATACAAATTTGGATATCCGGGATGGAGGAAGCGGGTGCTTGATGTGGTACGGTGATCTGATTGACATAAGATACTTTGCTGAAAACGGGCAAGACATTTATATAAGAATGGCCGCTTCAGAACTAGGTAGGGAAAAAACAATTTCTGGTGATTATGCATTTATCATATGCTCGAAAGAAAGTCAAGACATAACGAAGTGAAATGTTGTACTAATTCCAACAGTTAGAACTTTGAATTTTGACACAATTAGCAAATTCTTCTCTTAGAATTCTCACAAACTAGCAATGATTCGTTGGATGACAGACAATATAATCTTTTTTATTTATTACTCTCCGACTCATTAAATTTTTCTGTCATCAAAATCATCATTCCTAGATCATGAAGACGATACAAAGATCAACGCTCAATACTCTGAATCCAATGTGAAGAAAATGAGGATCATAGTAACCAGTATCGTGTTGTCTACTGGACTGCTGATCCTGGGCCTTGCCCTGCTCTATGTTTGGAAGAAGAAGTGTAAAAAAGATGGTAAGCTATTTGACTCTCTACTCTTCTGCCCCTCAGTTTTCTAAGCTAGGTAGTATAGTTCCATGTTAAATGATTTACTTCACTACGTACTTTGCAGGAAAACTGAGGTCCAACCAAAAGGAAGACCTAGAGTTACCATTATTTGACTTAAGTGATGTCGTTTGTGCTACCAGTGATTTTTCAAACCACAATAAGCTTGGAGAAGGTGGTTTCGGATCTGTCTTTAAGGTGAAATCACAGTCCTCGCTACAATTAGCTTGACATTTCAGCATGTCGCTTTGGTCAGGAGTAACAGATACAAGTAGGGAGTAGAATGGATTTTGATTTGATACGATCTGATGAATTTCAGGGTACATTGAAAGATGGACAAGAAATAGCTGTGAAAAGGCTCTCCAAACATTCGAGACAAGGACTCAATGAGTTCAAGAATGAGGTTACACATATTGCCAAACTTCAGCACCGGAATCTAGTGAAGCTTCTAGGATGCTGCATTCAAGAAGACGAGATGATGCTGATCTACGAGTTCATGCCTAATAAAAGCTTAGACTTCTTTATTTTCGGTATCACTACTCAAGAACCTTATACATTACTTCACTTAAGTTTCTAATCACCTCGTACTTTGTAAACTTACTTCTGATCCTTTGGAGGTTGGCTGCATAAGGGAAGGGAAGGGAAAGGGATCGTGCAAGATAACAAATTGATTTTGTTAGAATAACAGATTTTTTTTTTAACAACTATGCTACCTTGCAGATCAAAGAAAAAGCATCTTACTAGATTGGCCTAAGCGTTTTGACATTAATGGGATTGCTCGGGGGCTCCTCTATCTTCATCAAGATTCTAGACTGAGAGTAATTCATCGAGATCTCAAAGGCGGTAACATTCTATTGGATGGTGAGTTTAATGCAAAAATTTCAGACTTTGGCCTGGCAAGAAGTTTTGGAGGAAATGAAACTTCGGCTAAGACGAAGAAAGTGGTTGGAACATAGTAAGTATTGTAAAAGATCTATTACAGTCTACATAGTACATACCTTGCTTATAAAAGGTAGTTTTTGACACATTGGTTTGCAGTGGTTACATGTCCCCAGAATACGCCATCGATGGGTGCTACTCGATAAAATCCGATGTCTATAGCTTTGGTGTTATGGTGCTCGAGATAGTGAATGGGAAGAGGAACAGAGGATTTTCTCATCCAGGCCACAACCTCAACTTGCTAGGACATGTAAGTGTCAATATCAATGTATAGTATTTCGTCGAATGTGACACTGATGTAAAAAATGGATTCGATTCCACTTAAAAATGTAAAACGTGGTTCATCTAGCATTATTTTATGTCTTTACTTGTTTTGTATGCTTCTATTTATTCAGTAAAATTGATGGTTGTGATCTTTTAGGCATGGAATTTATACACAGAAGGCATGTCTAATGAACTGCTTGATACATCAGTAGGAGACTCTAGTAATCAACATGAAGTTCTGCGATCAATCCATGTGGGTCTTTTATGTGTGCAACGAAATCCGGAAGATAGGCCAAGTATGCTAGCTGCAGTTCTGATGTTGAGTGGTGAAAGTGCATTGCCTCAACCTCAAAAACCTGGTTTTTATAGTGAAAGGGATCTAGATGACAACAATGTTGATCCTTGTGCAAACAAGGTTACATTTTCAGCTAATGAAGTCAGTTTTTCACTACTCGAAGCTCGATAGTTGTTATTCATGTTCTGTTTGTATCATCTTAAAATGTCCTATTAATTTGAGTTTCTTGAGTATTCTTTGTGTAAGATTGTAAGCATGAGTATGAATCTATGAACTTAGTTAAAGGATTAAAGACTGAATAGGAAGTCTTGTTGAGATTGGATTTATGAATCCATATCGGTGCTGAATTGCTATTTCATAAGAATTGTTTTTATATATGGATTTTAATAGGGAAATCCTTATGGAATAAGGTTAGGATTATATAGTATATATATATGGTGGCCTCTGCTCTCACAGTGCGTGCTAAATTCTAGACTAAGATCTATTATTAGTTAAAAGCCTTTGAACACTGAAGAGAGGAGAAGGTGCACTGTGATTTTCTACAGAGATCAGACATGGCAATTGGTTCAAGTTCATCTGCAAGTATGGTTTTCTTCATGTATTGTTTGCTGAGTTCTGGTCATGTGTTTTGATCACTGTGATTCATGTTGCTAGATCTTGGTTCTATGTTTAGTCTAACATGTGGTATCAGAGCTAAGTTTATAAGTTTATGAATTCTGTAATCAAAACCGATAGGTTCAGATAGCATGGATGATATTTAAAAAAAAAAAAATTGTTGCAGGTTTGGGGACTCGAACCCTAGGTCTTTTGTCATAAGGGTTTTCGAATCAAAACCTTAAATAAATAAATAAATTACTTTTAGATGTAAAGAAAAGTCTGTGCGTAAGGGTTTCCTCTCCATTTGGGGCCTTTTGATTAAGATCACCATTCATCAAAACATGCTTCTTGGTAAAGATTACTTCATGCAATATGATCGATTTGGATGACTATTCCGCTGCGTTGTTTTTTAAAATAGGATCTATGAGAGGTATGTTTGATGAATTGCAAATTTTGTTATTGTCTGCTTGATGTTTCGATACAAGGATTGAGTCTACATATTCTGTTAAATCTTAAAACTATATGAATTAAATCCGTTTAAACTTTTGATTAGTGATCTTAGACCATGAGTTACTCAAACTTGTATTCATCTGCAGTAACTTTGTTATTTGCAAATACTAATGCTCCTCTGTGTTTTCTGTTAAACAATGGAAAATGGTTACCATGCATGAGACATGTATTGGATGTCCTGTTGTTGCATACTTTGTTATTGATGAGTTAATTTTTCTATGTGTGCTTATCAACGATATGTTGCTAAGTCTATATGTATGAATCATTGATGCGAATTGTGATGTGCAAACTGCAAAGGAAATCAGGAACGTAACTAGTTCATGTTTGTGATTTCATCTGCAGCATCTGCAATATCTCTCAAAACCTTAAACTTAGCAAATATTCCAATTCTCACTGGAGGGAGTAATTACAAGAAATGGAGGAGAGAAATAGGGCTATTATTGACCATCAATGAGTATGATATAGCTATTGACTCCAAGACCAGTGATCACAGATCAAAGTACTAGAGCAGAAAAGGTTGATTATGAAAGATAGACAAGAGCCAACAAAGTTGCACTTTTAATCCTTGAAAGTGGGATGACTAACACAGTTCGAGGAGGGATTAAAAGACATGAGTTGGCTGCAGAATACTTGAGTGCAATTGAGAAGAAATTCAAGGAATCTGAGAAGGCTGAGATCAGTCAACACATGTCATTCTTAACAACCTACAAAATTGACAATGCTGGTTCAATTAGAGACCACATAATGAAGATGACTGATGCTGCAGAAAAGTTAAACTCTATAGAAGTTAACATTGGTGAAAAGCAGTTGGTCTTCATGATCCTTCATGCCCTCCCAAACAAGTATTCTCAATTAAAGGTGTCATACAACACTCAAGACAAGAGTTGGGATGTAGATGAGCTAATTGCTCAGTGTGTTCAAGAAGAAACTCGACATAGGCAAGAAAAGGCAAGGATACTGAAATTGTGAATTTCATGCAAGGAAGGAAATGAAGGAAGTTCAACAATTCTGGATTTAATCCAGGTAAGAACTTTAAGCACCCTAAGCCTTCTGATAAGACTGCTATATCTGCTAAGGTATTTGAAACTTCTAGAGGATCTAACAATCTTTAAACCAAAAGTGAAAAATATTGCTAACTCAAATGTTTTTTCAGCAAAACTAGAGGTCATTTAAGAAAAGATTGTGAACTGTTTAAAGACTACTTAAAGGCTAATGGAAAGGAGATAGTTAATGTATGTGTAGAGTCAAACTTAATTGAGGTTCCATTCAACTCTTGGTGGTTCGATACTGGTTGCACAGTTCACATAACTAACTCAATGCATGGTTTTCAAAAACAAAAGGATGCCAGTTTTAACTGTTTTAATGTCTTTGTGGGGGAATGGACAAAAGTTGCAGTCAAAGTTATTGGATCAGTAAGCTTAAAATTAAATTATGGTTTCATTTTACAACTAAGTGATGTCCTATATGTGCCAAAGATGAGAAGAAACTTAATTTCAGCCTCTAAACATGTCAAAAATGGTTTTTCTTTCCTAGGGGATGATGAATGTTTGAAATTTTTTATGAAGAACAGTTTTGATTTTATTTTGGGGACTGCTCGGTTAGTTGAAAGCTTATGGCAGTTAGAGTGTAGTGTTGTTCTTAATGAGAATCATGCACTACATACAAGTACAAAGAGAATGTTAAACACTGACACTTCTTACACCCTTTGGCAAAAGAGATTAGGTCACATATCAAAAGAAAGATTCACTAAACTGTCAAAATCCAACTTGATCCCTCCATTAAATTTTGAAATTGCAACTGATTGTGTGGATTGTTTCAAAGGAAAACTAACAAGTTTTTGAAATTTTGAAGCCAAAAGAAGCAAAAATTTACTTGAGATTTTTCATACTGATATTTATGGTCCTTTCCCAACTAAAACCATTTGTGGAAACAGTTACTTTGTTAATTTCATTGATGACTTTTCAAGATTTAGTTATCCCTACTTAATAAGTGAAAAGTCAGCTGCTCTTAAATGTTTCACAATCTTTAAAACTGAGGTAGAAAAATAGTTAAACAAATCCATTAATATTGTTAGATCGGATATGGGTGGAGAATATTTTGGCAGGTACATCGAGTCTGGACAACAGAAAGTCCCTTTTGCCCTCTATCTTGAAGAACAAGGAATCGTGGCTCAATACACAACTCCTGATACACCACAACAAAATGGAGTATCAGAAAGAAGGAACAAAACACTGATTGGCATGGTGAGGAGCATGATGTCAAGGTCCAGGTTGCCTAGTTTCCTCTAGGGTGAGACTTTAAAGACTGCCAATTACATATTAAATCGAGTCCTGAGCAAATCAGTGTCAACCACCCCTTTTGAAGCATGGTATGAGAGATTACCGAGTTTTGGCCATTTTCACATTTGGGGTTGCAAGGCAGAAGCTAGGTTCTACAACCCAGAGGAAAGAAAACTAGATTCGAGAACTGAGTCATGCTATTTCATAGGCTACTCAGAGAAATCAAAGGGGTTCAAGTTCTATTGTGCACAATCTCATACAAGAATCAAAGAAACACACAATGCAAGGTTTTTTGAAGATCAAGATGTATCAGATTTTACTATTGAAAATTTCATATTTGAAGAATTAGAGCAGTCATCAAATGAAACATCCTCAATTGATCACTGCCCTGCGTTAGTATACTATCAAGCCACAGATCAACATGTTGAGGCTGACTACAATAAGGATCCTGACCAAGTAATGGAACAACCAGAAGTGACTGAAATTTAGCATGAACCAAGTCAACATGGCACTGAACTGATTGACAGTGCAATGCAAAATGATTGTATTCAAGTGCAACCCTAAATCAGAAAATCCACAAGAACCAGAAAACCTGCAATTCCAAGCGATTTCCGATGCCATCTCCAAGAAACTGACTATAATATTGGAGATGTTAATGATCCTATGACTTATTCACAAGCCATGAAGAGATCACAGTCAAATTTGTGGAACAATGCGATGAAAGAAGAACTGGAATCAATGTATAAGAATCAGGTTTGGTTATTGGTGGAACCTAAATCTGATAAAAGGCCTATATGATGCAAGTGGGTCTATAAGACTAAGTGGGATGCACATGGACAAATTGAAAGGTATAAAGCTCGATTGGTTGCTAAGGGTTCACTCAAAGAGAAGGAATTGACTACAATGATACCTTTTCACCCGTGTCCTCAAAAGATTCATTGAGACTCATTATGGCTATAACCGCACACTATGATCTAGAGTTACATCAAATGGATGTAAAAATAGCTTTTCTCAATGGGGATCTTCAAGAAGACATTTATATGGTTCAACCTTCTGGATTTATTGAAAGTGGAAAGGAGAATATGGTTTGTAAATTAAAGAAGTTGATCTATGATCTTAAACAAGCATCCATACAATGGTACTTAAAGTTTGATCAAGTGATCACATCTGATGGTTTTGTTGAGAATAAACTTGATGATTGCATCTACTTAAAGTTCAGAGGGTTGCAGTTCGTTATTTTAGTTCTATATGTTGATGATATATTACTTGCAAGTTCGAGCATTCAGTTGTTAAAAGAGACAAAAGTATTGCTCAGTGCAAATTTCAAAATGAAGGAGCTTGGTGAAGCACATTTTGTTCTAGGCAGTGAAATTGCTAGAGACAGAAACAGAAAGTTATTGGGACTTTCTCAGAAAGCCTATATTGAATTTTTTTTACTAGGTTCAACATGGAAAGTTGCAATGGTTGCCATGTTCTAGTGAACAAAGGGGATCGTTTATCAAAGGAACAATGTCCTAGAACTGATTTCGAAGTCAAGAAGATGTCTGAGAAACCATATGCTTCATTAGTTGGAAGCTTAATGTATGCAAATGTTTGTACAAGACCTGACATTGCATATATAGTAGGAATTTTGGGTAGATTTCAATCTAATCCAGTGGAAGCTCACTGGAGTGCTGCCAAGAAAGTTCTGAGATATCTATAACAAACCAAGGGCTATATGCTTGTGTATGGTAGAGAAGAAGAACTTGAATTGAAAGGGTACACAGATTCTGACTTGGCGGGAGATTTAGATGACAGAAAATCAACCAGTGCATATGTATTTCTGTTTGGTGGAGGTGCAGTGTCTTGGAAGAGTGCCAAGCAAACTATCATTGCGACTTCTATTATGGAGGCAGAGTTTGTGGCATGTTTTGAAGGAATGAAGCAAGAAGTATGGTTAAAGAATTTTGTGGCAGAATTAAGGATTGTAAAATCAATACAGAAGCCTTTGACAATGTATTGTGACAGTAATTCCGCAATTTTCTTTGCTAAGAACAACAAAAGAACTTCTGCTTCGAGGTTGATGGATGTCAAGTTTCTAAAAGCAAGGGAGAAAGTCAAGCAAGGAACCATTGATGTGCAGCATATCAGTACGAGTTTAATGGTTGTTGATCCTTTGACCAAGGCCTTGGATGTTGGTATTTTTAAGTTGCAAATCTCTAGAATGGGCGTGCTTGAGTCCCGTGATTAGTGGGAGTAGCGTTTTATCAAAGGCTTTTGTGTCAGAAGTGCTACTATTGTGAAGTTCAAAGAGCTAGTATAGCAGTGATACTCTTCTCGTTAAGTTAGTTTTCTGGTTTAGTTTGCTTTATTTACAGTTAGTATAATTGTAAGCTAGCTGTATTCAAAGATTCAATTTTTGTAATTGTTTGATCTGATATATATATATATATATATATATATATGTGTGTGTGTGTGTGTGTGTGTGTGTGTGTGTGTGTGATTTTGGATTCAGTTGATGCCTTAAGGAATTTTGTGATTTGACTTAGGTAGTTGTTTTGAATTCATGAGAATTGTATACAGACAATTTATTGACTGTGATGAACTTGATTGTTTTGAATTAAGTTAAGAAATAGTGGGAATGGATATTTAAGTCCACTAAGTTTCAGTTTGATCATAATGTTATGATGTGCAAATTGGACATAAGTGATCTAAGAGCGCCGGTTGCATAATGGTTGTGACTGTGAGTTTTTCAGATTCTGTGTTTTGAGATGCATAGGTAGATTGTTTATGATGTTGCTCAAAAGGCTTAGTGATCACCCTATTGTAGTCTTAATCGAACTAGTTTCTTGGTTTATACTTGCTTAAGTGGGAGAATGTAAGATTGTAAGCATGAGTATGAATATGTGAACTTAGTTAAAGCATTAAAGACTGAATAGTAAGTCTTGTTGAGATTGGATATTTGAATCCATATCGGTGCTGAATTGCTATTTCATAAGAATTGTTTTTCTATATGGATTTTAATAGGGAAATCCTTATGGAATAAGGTTAGGATTATATAGTATATATATGGTGGCCTATGCTCTCACAGTGTGTGCTAAATTTTAGACTAAGACCTATTATTAGTTAAAAGCCTTTGAACACTAAAGAGAGGAGAAGGTGCGCTGTGATTTTCTGCAGAGATCAGACATGGCAACCGGTTCAAGTTCATCTGCAGGTATGGTTTTCTTCATGTATTGTTTGCTGAGTTATGGTCATGTGTTTTGATCATTGTGATTCATGTTGCTAGATCTTGGTTCTATGTTTAGTCTAACACTTTGATCATACAACTTCTTGCTTTACATATGCCTTACTCTGATATAGGTGGCGACTCATTTGAATTTGAATTGTAGAGAAAAATTAGTTATCATTTATAGATTCTGATTGGATAAGATTATATATTTGAATCACTTATTCAGATTCGACAAGTTTACTGCATTCTAATGTTTACTAAAATACTAGATTGAGCTTTTTTTTTCTTTGGTACAACTTAATTAAACACGGTGAAAAACAACCTACAACATAAAAAAAAAACTGAGGCAAACTGACAGCAAGGGAAACAAGGTGGCAAAAAACCACCACACTCAGCAACCAAGAACAACCCAAAGCATAAGCAACAACAAACAAGAAACAGAGAGATTCCGAGAAAGCAGAACTTCGTTGTTACCTGCAGGAAACCTAAACATTGACAAAGAAAGTCTGCAGGGAACGGTAGACACAATGGCATAAAAATGGAAGTAGCATCCCTGGAATTATTCTGAAAATTTCTGTCGCAATGCGAACAAAAAGTCAATGAGAGGGTACCAAATTAATCAATTACATCTGTATGTAGTTACGTACTGACATGCAATAAAAAAAAATCACGTGAAGAGAGAGGTAGACGCAATGGGACATACAACCGGTTACAAGACATATTCTCTCCCACCCGAGATACTCATGTTGATACTTCGTTTTTTGATATTTGTATATTAAAGTCAAATGTGGGGGTTCATCTCTTCCTCTAATTTTTCAACTCACAATTAACTTGAATTACAAGAATTGAAGAGGAGAGAAAACGATGCTGATACTTACAACAACCAATCAAAGCATGTAAGTTTCCTTTGAGCTGAGGGAACTAGATGACCACATATGAATTGAGATATTTTCTACTAGACGAACATCGTTCTTTGATTGAATCCAAACCTACTTCTGATTGAAGACAGTTTTCTCAGTTTCACGTTGGAGAACCTTACACATTACTTCACTCAAGTATCCTAAAACAGTAATAGAAAGTCTAGATTCTTTGCATATAAAAATGGTTTTTTGACACATTGATTTGCAGCGGTTACATGTCTTCAGAATATGCAATTGATGGTTTCTGCTGTATAAAGTTCAAAGTCTTTAGCTTTGGTGTTTTGGTGCTAGAGATAGTGATTGGGAGCAGAAATAGAGAATTCTCTCATCTAGTCTTCAACCTCAACCTTCTCGGACATGTAAGTATGACAATATTAGATGTCAAGTTAAAATCTCTTATCTCTCGATTATGGTGCTTGTACTGAGCATACTAGTTTTCGTGTTTTAGGCATGGATGCTACACACATAAGGCAGGCCTCTCGAACTGCTTGATACATCGGTAGAGGAATCCATCACTCTGCATGAAGTTGTACGAACAACTCAAATGGGTATTTTATGCATGTAGCTGAATTCGGAAGATAGGTCGAGCATGTCAGCTGCAGTTCTAATGTTGGGTGGTGAAGGTGCATTTCCTCAACCTCAAAAACCTAGTTTTTACAATGAAAGGGATCTGACTGAACTCAAAGCCGATTCTTCACTATTTCACCATTGAAGGCTTGATAAAATATGGGAACTGATTTATGCACATTTAGCCCTCTTTATTTTTGTTCATTGATTTCTTATAACTTTGGGAAGACAAGAAATAAACTTGAGTGTGTAGAAAAAGAAAAAAAAAATGAAGAAATCACTTCTCCAAATTATAATCGGGGTTGATGCATATAACTTGTTAGATTGGAACACAAATAATATATAATTGTACACAAAACTTCTTAATACTGTTCATAAAGTACTACATTAACAAAAGGTCTGAAATTTTGAGAAATAAATAAATAAATGAATCAAATTTTAATCCCTTTTTTTCAGCAAAAAGGCGGATGGCAGTTTCACTAATACTTATCAGAAAGACATAAGACGTAATTCTAACAAAGCATTTTCCATCGGACAAAGAAAAACAAAGCAAGCACTTTCCATAAATTTCTCCAACTTTTGATCCGAAAGTGTTTTGGGAAAGACATAAGATATTAGTGAGCTGGTTTGAAAATGATTCTAAAATGACTGAAAGAATTTTTGAAAAATGCATACAAAAGATTATATTCACATACCCTAAATTACTTATTCCATAATTTTAAATTTTTTTAATATTTTCTACACACTATTAACACTTGATAGAAAAATATTAAAAAATTAAAGGGATGTGATGGAAATAATTTGGGCTGAGTGAATATAATCTCCCAAGACATATTTGGGTTGGGTTTTATAAAAAAACTTGAAGTGTTTCATGCAATAAATACTAGAAAGCACTTCAAGTGCTTTTTCATAATTCACTTAAATTTTTACTACGGATTAGTCCCAAAAATATTTTCATAATTTACTTAACTTTTTACTAATAATTAATTCCAAAAATATTTTCATAATTCACCTGCATTTTCATTAGCCATTATAGAAACACATCCAAACAAGTTGGTAAAGATTAGCATCGTCACTTGGTGAGAAGACATTTGACAAACAAAAACGCTACTTTTATCTTTATTAAAGTAATGATACAAATAGATAGTAAGTGTAACATTATTCTTTGACAAACTCTTGTCTTTCGGTCAGTTGTATATCCAAAATTTCCACGTCATCACCAAGTTTTGGTTGTCGTCTTCCATCAAGGGTAAATGGGGCAATCCACCATCATCAATGTGTAGTAGGAAAAAAAAACCAGCACTGTGTTGTGTGTTCCTCTCTTCGCTTTCCCTTTTGTAAAACCCTAATCTTCTCCTGAATTTAACTTTCAGGGTTGCCTGGCTTCTGCACCATTTCCTACCAATACAGGTCAGTTCTCTTTCTCTCTGTATTTGTTTTGAGAATTAAAGGAAACAAAGTGGTGCACTTTTGGCCACTTTTTGGATTGAATTAGTTGATGGGTAACTGTAATTGATGCTAAATTTGGATTGCAAGTTGTTGCCAATTGGTCTTATGGGCTCTCGTTGCTTATGATTTGTTTGTTTGAAAATTGGGGAGCAAAGCAAAACAATTTTTGAAACAGACTCAACTTTTAACAGTAGGATAAATCTTAATGGAGACAGTAATTTTCGTCGTTGCACCGAGTGCTTTTGAAGGTTTTTCACTCTTGTATATGAACAAAGACTATCTTTTTGGACAATATGCTCAAAAGAAATAAGGTTGCTAGGTTGTTCGAGTGCTTGAAAGGGTGTTTCCGTTCGAGGCTGTATGCTTCATTTTGCAGCAGCAGCAGCGCTTTACGCAATTTAAAAATTTTCGTATCAGACAGTCTTTGCCTTTTCCACACTGTTAATTTGTGTTGAGTTATGACATTGTAGCCGATACTGGTATCGCTTCAATTTTTTTACTGTTGAGCTTTGTTAGCACCCTGGCATGCATATGTAAATGTTTGAAAATGTATATTAAAAAGAAAAGTTTTTGCGTTGGTTGCTCTTACTAGTTATTGGAAAAAGTTGATTTATCCATACACTGGTCATTGTCAAATGTCCCCTCGTCATGCAACATACCGTAGATTTGCATTTCAAGTGTACATATACAACCAATTGTTGATCACCATCACTATTTTTTATAAGGATCTTAGGAGAGCACTTTTTCTTGACAAAATGTTCATGCATGTACGCAGTACTATGTACTTATGTATTTGTATGTATTTATTTAGTAAATGTGCATTCTTTACAATACGTAGATGGCTCATTTTTTATGAATGATTATGCTGTTTTCAGTTTATTAATTGAGTTATGGCAATGGTAACCTGTGCAGTGGATTGCTACATACCTCTCTTCAAAATCAGTTAGCAAGTATACCCAAAAGGTTTCATGGCAGGTAATGGTCTGCCATCTCTGGGTCGTGTGAAACTAGCCGATTTGGCTCCTGCTGAAGGCCTTCCATCAGATTCTTACAAACTATCTGTTTCAACTTTGTCACAATCACTAGCTCAGTATTCTGCTGCCATCATTCAGTTTCCAGTGAGTGATGGGGCTCTTTTGAGGTCGGGTTTAGATTCGGCTCACCTCTACTTCCACCAGAAAGCATCATACCCAGCTGCCGATATGGTTAATAATAATGACCCTCGTGACTGGTGCAAGACTTCCGGTTATAATGCAGATCCCCAATTGTGGCTGGAAACCTATGATTACAGACCTGGACTCACTCCTTTAGAGCCCAACAACACAATGGAATTTCCTCCAGCAGGTGTACCAGATATATTTTCAATGCTTGCAAAGGCAGCTAAGGATATATTGGATGCTATCAGCTTCTATTTGAACTTGAGGAGCTCTCCATTTACTGAAGTACTTGATAATGTTCCCTTAAGAAATCAGGAAATATCTTCTTCAGTATTATCTGTCTGCTGTCATGCAAGGCCTTCATTTCAGGGCGCACAACACCATAATTTTACGACCCAAGAGGATGGCCAGTTGGTTATGTTTTCTGACCATGAGCATCAAGTTGACAAAAGCTTGATATCTCTTGTCAAGTCAGACAAGGCCGGTCTACACATAAAGGACTTTCAGGGTCGTTGGGTTCTTGTGGATGGCGATCTTGGTCCTCAAGAAGCTATTGTTTACCCCGGACTTGCACTCTATCAGGCAACTGCAGGATATGTCAACCCAGCACTACAGAGAACAGAGCCTACTAATACACAGAGTAACTTGTTTGGGCGATGTTCCTTGGCATTTAAACTCATGCCTAAACCCATGACCAGTCTCAGTTGTTCAGAGATGAGAGCCGCTGGTCATGGGGTTGAACCTCAGTTCCAGCTTCCAGTAGCGGTTGATGACTTTATGCAGAGATCTCACCCCACCGATCAACTCTTTAACAGACTCAGTTTTCAAAGTTTCAATTTTCTTGCAGCACAAGATGGTATGCTGCATTTAATCTTCTTTACCATTGTCTGCTTGTTTACATACTGTAAATTGATTTAATGAATTCAGTTTTTTTAATGACAGCTTTCTATGACTAGGATTGGTTTTACTGAGAGAAGCACATGCACACACCAAAAATAAGTTTAACAAGTGAATTTGGCTTAGTCTTACGGTGTTGTATGATCAAGATTCACTGAATGTATATGCTAAATTAAGTGAAACTCTTGATAATTTGATAGGCTCTGTTTTCATTTGAATGGGAAAATCATCAACTACTCAATAGTTTTTGCATTTCTGTTGTCATAAACAAGGATCTTCAATCTAGAATTATCATCTAAAACTACATAATAGTTTGTGCATTGGATTGCACGTGTTCTATGTGTGAGTATCTCTTAGTGAGAAGTTTTTAACAGCAGGTCCTTGGATCGATGAAATGCTGGTACAGGATCTGTGAAGCCTTTGTTGAGGAGGAGAAAGAGTGAAAGAACCAAACCTCTGCCGCCTTCCAAGAGATTACGGGTCGAGGCCCAGAGAGTCCTGAAGGAAAGGGTTCAAGACATTGCAGACAAGAAGGGAATCAAGCTGAGGTTCTGCAACCTGAAGGAGTGTGAGAGTCACATTCAGGCACTTGATAGCCCATGTGCAAATATAAGATTGGAGATCGGGTGGCCGCATGGAGTGCCATTTGTTCATCCCCATGATCTCCCAAACAAGGCAAAGATCGGTTTCCTTGAAGCCTATGAACCTGGTTGGACTGCTACTCATGATATGGAGTTAAGTCTAACTGAACCTGGACAAGCCGGCCAGTCAACACTCAGTTAATTGTAATTGTAAGTCCTATTCAAGTAATCAAGTAAAAAATTTCGTATCTGAATAACCAAGCATACTTGCGTATTTATAGGTCATTTGGGCAATTTTTTTCCTTTTATTTTATTTTTTCTGCAGGACTCGTATGGTGCTAACTTCAATACATGACCACCCAGAAGCGTGTGGTCCAACTTCGCATGTGATGCTCATAGGATGACAATCATGACTCATACTTCCCATACTAAGTTTTCGGTTTGTATAGACATTTTTGAGAAAAGATTTAGTCCTTCACTTCAGTAGTTGACAAAGTGAACGCCATGGATTTGGAACCTTCATCTCCTTTTTGTATCAGTTGTACTCAACTCTGAGATGGGTATCGGGAGCAATAGGATCGGAAAAGAGCTGAATGAAACATGGATAGGAGAGTGGATTTTGGAAAGATAGTTGCACCTCTCATATGGTGTAAGTTTTGATGCTGTAATACACTTGTTATCGAATTTCGAATGCTTTCCGCTGCTGAGTTATAGACTAATAAAGAGAGGGAGCACCAGAATCTTGCTGCAGATGTTCATTAATTAATCTTGTACTCTTTTATGCTGTTGCGCTAATGAATATTTAAGGCATGCCTTTTCTTCATATGGTTTATGAAAACCAAACCAAGTTTTCATTAGTTTATGCAGCATAAGGAGATCTCGACATCCAAAGTGTGGCAAAATTACCATAAGGAAGAACAGATGACGATGCAACTTATATTTCGCAGTTAATAATACAGACACCTAACAGTTTTTCAAGATTCTAAACATAATCGCTCATGGCGGGTACATATACCAGCGTCGAGTCCTATTTATGCCCTGAGGAAACAGAAGCACTTCTTAGAACCCTAACTTGAACGTAAAGTTGCATTAATTGGCATCCAAGTAACCAGGCTGAGCCGGGAAACCTTGTTCAGTAACCTTCAGTACTCTGCAAGTGGGATAGTAGATCAAGAGCCCAAACCCGGCAGAGGTTTAGAGATCTGCAGTAGCCATCCGATGCATCCACAGCACTAAGTTTGAATTTGCAGCGTAAATGCAAGGCCTTTCTCAGCCTCGAAAAGGTGACTGGTTCTCAAAAGGCAATTCAACGGGCGTTGCATTAGCGTAGAATTCTTCCAAGTTGTAGAAAGCTCGCTGTGGTGGAAGAAATATATGAATAACAACATCACCTGAATTAAGACACGAGTGAAGCCTTCTGTGTTAGATACAACACTCCTTAAAGAAGAATTTGGCAGCAAATTTAACGATTTCTAGGAAGACACAGCAACCCCTCCCGCGTTTCCAACTGAATCACGAGACCCCTAATGGTTAGTCCCATAATTGTGCAAATACGTCTCAAGACGCCAAAATAATGACCAGAAAACAACCTTTCGGGTGTCTTATGACTAAAAAATTAAGCTTCCAACAGACCGATACTACAAATACAGATGCAAGAAAAAGAACTTCAGAAGAATGAGGTTGAAATTCACAAAGCGGAGGAACATTTGAAGAAAGTTTTCACAAACTTAATCTAAAACCTACTTGAATTATACACTTAAAGAAAAAACTTTAACGGACTACGAACCAATATTGATATCAAGTTTCATCTGAATAAGTCAAAGGGGTCTCTAAGAAAGCTATAGCCGGCTTTCACTACAATGTGAAGGAACGATACTCACCGAAGTCCAACAGGGTCCATGAGTTGGGTTTTGAGTCCCCAGATGGAACTCTTCCATACTTTTCCTCAGCCATATCTCTTATCCTGGACCTAAATTGCAGCATAAATGCATATCAAATATTTCTTCCAAGCTTGTCTGATAATTTATCATGCAAATCAAACATAAACATTCATAAATTTAAACTTCGAAGCACATACGCAATTGCATCACTTTGCGGACGAGAAAATGCCGTGGCAATGATAAAAAACCGAGTCCAATATACAAGAGGCTTCACAAATAGGACCTTTATATCTCCTGCTTTTACGTCATTTGCTACATTGGCCATTGCAACAGCAACTAGATAGATTGCAGGAGGACATCATTAACAAGTTTCATAACGCGAGAGATTATAATACATGAAGAAAGAATCTTTATATCAGGCGCCCGTGTAACATTAAGGCCAAAACAAAGGATCTAGCTCAGATTCAATGTGATGTGAGCTTACATGACAAGGTTTCAGCATCATCATCAAGCTCTGTGCTAGGAGACTTCCTGTCATTGCTACTATATACCACCTTTCCATATTTATCAAACAAGTCATCAAACATATCGTCCGTATCTTCGCTTACATTCTGCAATGTCCCATTGATTCAGCTATAAGCATTCAAGGTTCAAAATGACACAACATAAATCACAGAAGTTTACAAATATCCTTGCAATTTTTACCTCTTTTGTCATAAAAACATGACAATATACAAAACAATACAAGGGAAAAAATCTTATGAAAAGTTTGAACATTTAGAAGATAAGCTTCAAAAAAATTCAAAACTTTTTCATAAATATGTTCATTTATTAGCAAAAATTATACAAAATTCAAAACCCAAAACGTAGCTCCCATGGATTTGGACAAATCCGAAAAACGAAATTTCATACCGGAGTGAAACTATCTTCAGCTTCCTTGGCGCGAGCCAAACGTAATCTTGGCAATTCCCTTGACTTCAAAGTTAGGTTCTTGCTTCTGGGCACTTGCCAAAAGCACTGGCAGTGAAAGCACTTATGAGGAAAAAGCGCGGTGGGACTTTGACAGAGCTTAGGTTGAAGACGACCTAGCTTCTGGAGGTCGTCGGAGAACCGGTATCCGGCGCCAGCTCCGGCAAGAGACAGAGTAATGAGAACCGACATTTTTGGTGTTTTGGTTTGGTACGGTTGCAAAGATATTTGAAGATGAGAGAGAATATACTCACGAGATGGATATCACCGGCAGCAAGCAATGGTCATCAAATCATATATTCTGGTTTTTGGGCTCGGTCGGGCTACATCCTCCTGTCTGGCCCAGTCTTTTTTCTTTATTTATTTCTTTTTGGTGAATTTGTTTTTCCTTTATTTGTTTACAAAGAATGTCAGAGTTTGCAAGAGGCTGTAGCGAAAGAGGTGAGTTATAAACCAAGGTCGAGGAAGATTGCGAAAATCAATCGTTCACAACAACGGTTGACGGATTCCTTGAAAGTCAAGGAGTAATAATCATTTTTAGAAATCGAATTGATTCAGTCTTATACGTACAAATCCCCACTCTCGCTTGCACATAACTTTTCGACCCATATCATTTGCAAGTAAATTGTGTGTTTTGCGTTCTGTTAAACCACCACCATCCTATTTCCATGACCAGTTTTATTATCATTCTACAAAACTGAAAGAACACTACCAGGGGACTTGGGGCTGCGGTATTTTTTTAAAAGCAACTTATTAAAAAGCTGGGGCAAATCAAAGCAAGAATTCTCTTCCGGTTGAACAGTAGACAATGCCCTTAGAAATGGTACAAAGACAAGTGAAATAACTTTTGGTCCCATTACAAAGAATTGCTTGTTTTTACAATAAATTGACCAGATGTGCAATATCAAGCAACATCCTTCGTTCCCACATTGTTGTGTTACAGTCATGGAATTAAAAAAGCGAAGCACCGGAAAAAGTTTTAAAAGCTCAAAATAACACAACTTGATCCTTTCTACTCATAAGCAACCCAAATGGTAATATCAACTCCGAGTATGTCCGTCACTCTTGAGAATTTTGTGCTTCTTACTCATGGCAACTAAGTAAAAGAGGGTGGGGAAGGGACAGAGAGAGGACAGGAGCGGGTGAACTATGAATGGTCTACGAGGGTGAACTGCTACTGCTTCCCTTAAAGACCTACATGAAGTGCCCGCCATCAGAACAAGCTAAAGCTATATAGGCAAATACCAAAGCGTCAAAAATCAAACAATCCGCCTAACCCGCAGAAAATCATGAACAATCTTATTTAAGCTACTGCAAAAGAACAAGTATTAACTCTAAATAACATTAGCCCAATTGCATTCCAATGATTAGAACCACTAAAAGAAAATCCATGAGAGAGCGAGAGAAAGTATTACCTATGGCTTACGAGGGGGTGAACTGCTGCTGCTGCTCTTGCTACTGCTTCTTCCCCTCAAAGGCCTACATAAAACCAAGTACCAAATCTGTTAAAAAACAAGCAACCCCAGTCCACAAAAACATGAGAATTTGTTTAAGTTACTACACAAGTACTAGGCCCAAGTTTTGTATCTCAATTGGGTTTTTAATCTGCGATTAATAAATACATATGCTGTGAACTTATAGAAAAATGATCAGACAAACTGATTACCAAAAAGACAAATAGTACAGCCAAAAGGATAAATTGCAGATGAAAACAAACTTAAACGAATGTGAGATTCTAAAACAGATACAAACGGCCCAGAATGAAGTTCATTCAGATCAAAGTTAAAAGTAAAAATTAATTAAAGGTCGTACCCAGTGCACAAGGCTCCCGCTTTAGGCAGGGTCTAGGAGAGGTGAATGTTGGCTAGCCTTACCCCCATTTATGGAGAGGCTGCTCCCAAAAAGTAAAAATTAATTAATTACAAAATTACCTTCTTGGACTATGAGAGATTTTTCGGGGTACCTGTTAGATTGCAGAGAGTTAATCCATGTAAGGTATCCCATAAGCCATGTTTTTAATGTAAACAAACTAGTAAGAGCTACCTGTCGTGGACTAGGTGATCCAGATGACGATGACCTCCCACGTCTAGTAGCCGGTGCTCGACCTCTGTTGAATACAAGCAACAAAGAAGGTATAAGTCATATTAGCTAGCATACTACTCTTTCAAAATAAATATGACAAAATAAGAACTTTGAAAGGTATATTTTGGCAAAATGCAGAGTAGGAACTAGGAACCTACTATGTAATGAAATCATCTCATCTAAAAAGGGGAAGAAAAGATAGTACTTTATACATAATAATCACCAAAAACATATGTAGTAACTAATACAGTATCAAGATACCAAGAGTTCAAAAAAATAGGTTCTCAAAGATAGTACCACCATATATCACTTGGAGGGAAAAAAAACTTTGACAGGTCAAGTAATGAGATGTACGCAAACATATATTCCACCACATACATTGGAACATACTGATGTGGAAAAGAACAAAAACAAGTAGCATCCTAAAGGAAAATAATAATCAATGGCAAATTCCATGTTAGATGACCACATCGGTGGCCAGATTTACTTCATGCATTCTTTCTTCATCCAACATAACAACTTTGTGTTCACAACACAACAAACCACTGCCTCCTCAAGCACACAGATACATCAACAAGAGTTTTTTTTTTGGTGGAGAAGAAACTTTATTTCAAACAACAGAACTATGCAAAAGCTTAGACTACAGCACATGAGTTCAAACCTTATTTTCATCAAGGTACGAATAAACATCACAAACTCCAAACTCAACGCACTAGTAAATGCAATTCCACCCAACTTCAGTGAATTGAGAACATGAAATATCAAGAAACGTGATCCACTTCAAGCATAAAGCAAAAGACTTCTTTAGACATGGATATTGATGTTACCTCCGCGGCGAGATTGACCTTGAACGTGATCGACCAGGCCTACGAATGGGAGAACGGGTCCGCCTACGAATTGGAGACCTTCTGGGAGGGCTACGAAACCGTCTAGTAGGTGAACTGAAGAATTAAATTCGTACAAGAGATCAAACCAAACTATAAACTCAAAGTAACTAAACCGAAGAGAAAAAAATAGCTTGACAGCTAATATTTCTAAGCACATTTGGTACAGTGACATCAACCCTTTTGCTCCAATACATACCTAACAACTGAGATCTTATTAAAAAAGGTGCACGAAGGAGCATGTAAATTCCGTGATAATACCATTGGTTTATACGATGCATCCTGATTATCAAAACACCCGAGGCCTTTTGGGTCATCTCTGCTATGCATCTATCAAGCACATTTGCTAAATATATTCCAGGACTTTTATGTTTCTAGAAAGAAATAAACTTTTATAATTGAAATTAATATCCTGGCTTCAGTTTTCTTTGCAGAAATTACATGCACAGTACTTATATATCATAGGTCCACAAAAAGTAAGCACACATATACACGTAATTAAACAAATCTGCATGGTGATAAAGATTCACTAACTGTTGGAAGAACACGCAAAACCAGTAAAATCAACCAGGAGTAGCACGAGATCTCTTTCCATTCAACAGAAATCCATGGTCTATGAAAAATCCATATCTTGATTTATTTTTGTAAGCACACGATTTGTGAAGAATTTTAGGTACAAAATTAGAAATTTACCCACGCCTTGGGGGTAAGGTTAGCCGACATTCACCTCTCCCAGACCCTGCGTAAAGCGGGAGCCTTGTGCACTGGGTACGACCCACGCCTTGGGGGTCCTGGAGAGCGTCTACGAATGGGACTTCCTTGTATCCTTCTTGGAGAGGTCATATTCAAGAAGATGATTAGTCAAACACCATTAAAAATAACTCAAACAATTTAGGATACAAAAATGCAAAATTGCCTCAATATACCTAATAGGGGAACGTCGCCTTGGTGGCGGTGATCCAGAACGACCTCTGGATGGAGATGCAAGCCTCCTCCTTGGAGGTGAACCACCACGGCAGTAGGGACGCGCAGGTGAGGCAGCATGACGACGCGGTGGAGAATCTAATGCTCGTCTTAGAGATTCACCTCTTCGAGATACAGGTGATCTCCTTCGTGGTGAGAGAGCACCTCTCCGACGAGGAGAAGCTGATATTATTAAGTAAAAGATAGATAACTAACATTGTAGAAAAAAAATATATGATGCTATAAAAAGAATAAATACAAAATTATACCTTCCCTCGGTCGCTTTGGTGCATCTTTGTCAGCACTGACACCATCAGTTTTCACAGTGTCTCTCTTTGGAGCAGTGGCAACAGGCTTAGGGGGAGAAGACACCTTCTGACGTTGAGGTAATGTAAACTTTGCTCGAACGACATTACCATCAATTTGAGCCTGAAACAAGGAATTTCACCACATCAATTCAAAATATGTAATGGTCTTATAGTTATAGCAACTGTTATACTCCCACTCTTCGAGAAAACTTACACCGTCCATGTATAATTGTGCTTTTTCAGCATCTGCTCGTATTTTGAACTCAACATATCCAAATCCTTTTGGAAGATTAACCTGCAGAAGAAGGCACTTTAACATACTTGTTGCACAGAAAGATACTTCAAAGTCAAGAATTAAATCTAGCATGCACTTACAGTACGATCCATTGCCAGCTCCACATTGACAACTTCACCAAAGTTACCTACAAAGTATGCAAAATGGAATGAGAGACACTGCCCGTGACCCAGTTAATCTGAATATTTAGCGAAGAAAAAACATATACGAGCTTAAGATGTGAGCACTTTTTCATACATATGGTTATCAAATCTGAGGATCGGTGCTACAGAGCACCAGACACATGTAATTGCCTAAACATGGAGTCATTAGTAGTTACTTTAAGGTTACATGGAATGGATCCTTTTACAATTTTGCATAAAGATAACAAAAAAACCAAAGAGAACGAAACTTTAAAAGAATAAAAGTTTAAATCAAATATAAATTAAAATTTCCCCACAGGCTGAGGAGAAGAGCGACACTTACTGACATTTAAAAATATATGTTGGACTCCTCAGGCAAGATTTTAAAGTAGTCACACTATAGGCTATTATGTAAATAAATAAATGTATATGGAATTAGCTTAGGATCAACTGCTATGGAATTAGGTATATCAATCATCAACATAATATCATGATGCAAATAGAAGTCAAATAGTATAGATACAAAACAAAAACATACAGAATATTTCTCGTAAATGGCCTTCATGCACATTCCTTGTTAGTGCGTCAATGTGAAGAACAAGTGACTCATGAACTGCATGAACTGGAGAAGCTTTCCTGAAATGTGACATGTTATCAGATGAAAGATGTGGATTGGAATTTATGGGGGTTGAGAAAGCAAAACTTAGTGGATCTACTCAAAAGAAATCTATCAAATAAAGACCAGTAAGAACTCAATATCTAGGAGACTCCAGGTAGCAAGTGGAAAATAAGGTTTCTAAGAGAAAACTCATATCCAAATGTCAATTGCAGTAAAAAAAAGGAGAAAAAGAATATCTACATCAACATAATTTGAGTCAATAACTTTTTGGATTACCAAAACTAAATTACAAACAGGATGCTGTTCATACTCATAGAATACGTATGTACATGAACAGTCACTTGACCCCAATCAAAGTCTACGTCAAATTGACTAACAAATTCTACTTCTCAATGTGCCCCAAAAAAATTGATAAGCACAAAAACCACTAAGAAACCCCTACAAATACATAGAAGAAAACTATCAATACCTTGGGGGTGGAGATGCCCTTTTAGATTGTGGCGGTGGAGAACGACCTCGTTTAGCAACTTCAGGACTATGAAAAACAAATCAGTTTAATTAGCAATACGGCTTTATGAAAACCTGAATTAACCAAATCCATAATCACATTAAAGCACGACAACAACAAAAAACCAAATAACGAAAAGTGAAGATGCATGATTTAAAATCTAAACAATACATATACATTATCGTTTGACTGCTCTAGCCTCACCAATTAATCGACTCATAACTGTTCGTTTGAGTTGTTCCACTTTTAATACTTCATCCTTCCTACTTAACGAAAAATTCATACTTTTTGCGAAGAAAGGCTGAATACTTAATGTCGATTGAAAATTTTCTCACCAACAAATATGAATGTCGAATCAACGTTCTTTACATTCAATTTCAGTTTTTTTTACTTAGCTTACTGCTTATATATTGCATTCGCCAGTGTTTTATAGGTGCGGCTTGTTTCTTTTCTATGATTGTAGTTAGGGTTTTGGTTGTTCGGCATTCCATTCAATTCAGTGTCTTTGTTCGTCTAAAATTGTTTAATATTCCTTTGCGAATTTATTCCGATTTTTCTAAGCAACAAAACAGCACATACAAACCCTAGAGTGTCAAATTAGAAGCGCGAAACGGAAATCAAACTTTTTTCTGGAGGCAGGGGGGCTACGGCTGCGAGAGCTGCCACTCCGAGACGGAGAGGAGGAAGAGGTGAAGGACCTGGAGCGAGATCGGGAGCGAGAAAGCGGGCTGGAGTGGGAGTCGGAGCCTGAGAAGGAGCGGGAACGCGAGCGGGAGCGGGAGGATGAGCCGGATGCGGAGCCTGACGGCGAGCGACGGGCTCGGGTTGGCTTCGCCATGGCGGACAGAGACGGAAACCTGGATAAACCCCGCTGGTAAAGTGTCCAGAGAGAAGAAGATGGTGAAGGTGGCTTACTACGTTATCATCATTTATTATCTCAAACGTTTTTTTAGCAGGCTCTGAGAAATTTTTTTATTTTTTATTTTTGAAATAGAAGGAGAGAGGAAGAGAGTTATAGAAATTTAGAAGTTTTTTATTTTTTTTAATTAGAAATATGTTAGGAGGATTACATGTAAGTGATGATTTGAAAAAAAAAATACAGAAAAATTTGGTTGTGAGATATTACATTTTTGTCCCATATTTCTTATTCATGTTCTGTTTTAATTAGAGGGTTAAACTGGTAATTTCATTGAGTTTTGGTTGACAATGAGTGTTTTATTAATTAGTAAAGATTACTTTCATTAGCCATCTCCAACTGAACGAGCGTCAATCCTACAAGAAATTAATATTTTAATAAACAATATCAGGTCATATTTTATATTATCTCCAACCGAGGGGGCCAAAGGGTCATAAACCAAACATAGCCATTTAGCAAAAAATCATCTCTAACCGAAGGGGCCAAAGGGTCATAGGCAAAACATAATTTATTATTTTAATTGAATTAATATGGTTACTTAAATTAAACGACCATATTAAAATAAGGTTTTCAGACATATTTTGAGTGTCACTTGTCACCAAATGAATAAGCCTCCTGATTTCTTATCTTTATATAATCTCAATAATTTTTTGGATATGATTTCGAGTGTCACGTGTCGCTAAAGTGAGTAACTCTCTAGATTTCTTATCTTTATGTAATCTGAATAATTTTTCGGATAGGATTTTGAGTGTCACATGTCGAGATGTAATTGGTTGTGCAAATTTTAAATAGGATTCTTATGTACGTGACATTTCTTATCTTCAGCTTCCAATGTTAATGAATTGACTGGATGTTGGGGTTGAATTCACACATTCATCTTTGCCCTCTCCAATATCTCTTTCAATTCAAGTTTGTAATGAATTCCAACTTTGGATCCTCCTCACATTCCAACTGGGGATCCTCATCCAATTCCGAATTAAAAGATCAATGGGCGCAAATGAGATTAGAAGATGAGGAGTTTGATGAAGAAGATGAAGTATGGCGCAACACAACATATGTGGCAGCAATGACTGGGGTTATGGCGTGTGAAGAAACTGAAGAACAACCTCAATGGGGTGGTTCTATTGCTGGTCGCTCTTACAAACTACGAAATAGAGAGATGACGCATGAGAATCTGATGAACAACTACTTCAAGTCCAACTCGGTGTACACAGACGAGGATTTCAGACGTCGCTTCCGGAAGAGGCGTTATGTTTTCGAGTGTTTACTTCACGATGTCCAACATGTTAATCCATACTTTCAATCAAGGTATTAAATATCGATGATATCGGAAATATCGATAGTCCAAAAACACGGAAATTTTGATGGAAATATCGGGATATTATCGATATCGATAAAAATTGAATAAAAACCACGGAAATTGTAAGAAAAACTTGGAAATTTTTATTGAAACTTTGCAGGATGTTTATTTAGTCAATTATCTATTAGTTTATCACAAAAAATTGGAAAGAAATGCATTGCATGATAGATATAATTGATTTAAGTTGATTATATAGCGTGCTGGCAAACATTGTGAGTATAGAAAATATGTAGTAATTAATGAAAGAAGTTTAAACACACCATAATCATTTATATATAATGAATTAGTACAATATTTTACACTTTATACATTGCATAGTAAGATACATGAGTGACTTAGCAAGGTCTAAAATATCGATGATATCGGAAATATCGGTAGTCCAAAAACACGGAAATTTCGATGGAAATATCTGGATATTATGGATATTTTAGACCATGCTTTCAATAGAAGATGGATATAGCAAGCCACCTTGGTTTCTCGCATCATCAAAAGGTTACTATTGCACTCCGAATGCTGGCCTATGCCTCCCTAGCTGATGCGATGGATGATACATATGGTATGTTTGAGTCTACTTACCTACAACAGGATCTTGTTGCACATCTTTGGGCCAAAAGAACCATGGAGTATGCGTTTCATTTTATTTTGTTTAATGTTGTTTAAGTTTGAATAACTCCCCCACGTAGTACTAGGATGGAGATTGTGTTGTTTAATGTTGTTTAAGTTTAATGTTGTGAATAATTGAAATAAAATGAGGTAAGATAGTATGAAATGGTGAAAATTATGTGAGAAATGGTGTAGGAATGGCTTAGGTATTTATAGGAAAAAAAATTAGATGTTTTTTTTAAATTCGTCTAAAAAAAATAAAAAATTCAATTTTTTTGGGCTGGCTGGAATGGGCCAGCCGGTTGGCTTGATTTCATATTTTTGGCCCAGTGGGGCCCACAAGCCTTTTGGCCTAACCCTCGGTTTGAGACCGTTTTCGTGTCATATCAAGCTATTTTTAGCCCTATGGCATTTTGGGCCAAGTCGGTTGAAGATAAACAATAGGTAAGGTAAAAGACCCAAACAAGATGAGAGCTGCAACTCAAGATACAACAGGATGTCCACATAAACTTAGGTCTGTAGGTAGAAAAGCAAACAACAAAATACCCTAATCTGGAGTAGCATAAACCAAATCACTAATGCCGCATCGTCCTTAAAGACACCAAACTCCGAACTGAGAAAGTCGACACCAAATCCAAATTTTCTTCACGAACTTCTGCAAACATATCCAAACAAAGTACCATATGGATAGAAGGTGAGGCTATGAGGTGACAAAGGCCATAAAACACTTGGCCTTGATAGAGATTCAACATGTTGATTATGTGAGGGAAAATGAGGGAGGAAAATGGATATGATATCTAATTTGAATTGGAGCCCGCAGATTCGAGCACATGATGGGGTAAGGATGAAATATAATGGCTAAAGATGAGGGAAAAAGGAAAGGTAACAAACAGAGAATAGTAAAAATAGCACGAAAAACGCTAGATAAGAGGCTTAAAGCCCAAACCTGAGACAAACTCAGGGTTATTGAGACCAAACTCAAGAAGCCTGGAAAGTGGGAATGGAGAGGTGATGGGAAGTTGTAAGAAGGAAGAGGCAGAGGAGATGGGAGAGGAGGAAAAAGGGAAAAGGCAAAAGAGAAGGGAATGGAGGAAAAGAGAGAAAAGGCAGAGAAGATGGGAGAGAAGTAGAATGAGGGGTGGGAAGGTGTAAAGGGCTGCGAGAAAGAAGAAAGGAGAAGAAAATATGGGTGGGCTCCCACCTGTACCCAAGCCAAAGGTTAGGGTCAACAACGAAGGAGAAACTGAGTTGGTGTTTCAAAGAGAAAGTTTTCATAGAGAGGAAAACTAGAGAGAGAAGGAGAAAACGCGTTTTTGAAAAGTATATAATAATCCCAAACTAACAGAAAAAAAAATATCTATGTACACTCGTAGCGAGTAGTTTCTCTTTCTTTTGAACAAACGATATTATATTAAGGGGTGGGGAATGGGTTGAGCCTCACAATAGGCTAGCAATAATGTGATTCAAATTCGCCTTTAAAGAGAATCAAACCTAAGGCCTCTCATTTATAAGTGAAGATGAATACCACAAGACCATAGTACTAAGTGGAAGAAAATAATAAAATGGTGAAACATTCAAAATGCCACAAAATGTCCCTCCTTATTAAAGTTTTTTTTTTAATTTTTTTAATTTAAAAAAAGGCAACTTAAATTATAAGGGACAAGATAATATTTAAGACAGTTTGAATTTTGAATGAAAATTATAATTAAAAAAATAAAAAACCCATGTAGTAGGTTGTTTATAAAGCTAAACCCTAAACCCTAAACCTTGACCCTAAACCCTACACTAACCCTAAACCTTAAACCCTAACCCTAAACTGTAAAACCTTAAACCTAACCATAAACCCTAAACTTAACACTAAATCCTAAACTCTAAACTTAAACCCTAAACCATACACTCTAAACCCTAATCCTAACCCTAAACCTAACCCTAACCTTAACCATAAACCTTAAACCCTAACCCTAACTGAAACATAAACCCTAACCCTAACCCTAACAGAAACACAAACCCTAAACCCAAACGCAAACACAAAACCCGAAACCCTAACCCTAAACCCTAAACCTTAATCCTAAACCTAAACCCTAAACCCTAAACCCTAAACCCCGAAACCCTATACCCTAAACCCTAAACCATAAAACCTAAACCTAACCATAAACCTTAAACCCTAAACCTAACACTAAACCCTAAACCCTAACCCTAAATACTAAACTCTAAATCTTAACACTTAACCTTAAACCCTAAACCCTAAACTCTAAACCCAAACCCTAACCCTAAACCTAACTCTAACTCTAACCATAAACCCTAAACCCTAACCTTAACCCAAACCCAAACCGTTTCGAAACCCTAAACCCTAAACCCTAAAAACTAACCCTACCCTAAACCTAACCCTAAACTCTAAACATAAACCCTAAAAACTAACCCTACCCTAAACCTAACCCTAAACTCTAAACATTAACCCTAAGACCTAACCCTAAACCCAAAACCTAACTCTAAACCCTAAACACTAACCTTAAATCCCAAACTATAACCCTAAGCCTAACCCTAAACCCTAAAACCCTAACCTTTATCTTAAACCTTAATGCCTAAATCCTAACCCTAAACCCTAACCCTAACCTTAACCCTAAACCCTAAATTTTGACACTAACCCTACAGACTCCAAACATGACCCTAAACCCTAAACCTCAAACTTCAAATCCTTAACCCTAAACCCTAAATCCTAAACTCTAGCCCTAACCCTAAACCCTAAAGTCTAACCCTAACCCTAAACCCTAAACCGTAGACCCGAAACCCTAAACTTTGAAACCTAACCCTAAATCCTAATCCTAACCCTAATCATAACCCTAAACCCTAAACACTAACCCTAAACTTTAACCCTAGACTCTAGACCCTAACCCTACCCTTAACTCCAAATCCAAACCCTAAACCCTAAATTCTAAAACCCAAACCTTAAACCCAAAACACAAAGCTCAAACGTAAACTCTAAACCCTACACCTTAAACTATAAACTCAAATAGTAAAATTATCAAAGAGAGTATCGAAATACTCAACAATTTTCCCTCCTTTTATCCTTTATTTTGTCAATCAATTATGAAAACCTTAGCCGCAAGGGTGACATTATCCATTACCATTTATCATATTCGGCTTATTCCACTTATAGACCTCCCAAAATTAGTATTATAATAAACTGTGACTTTTGGCCTAACTTTAAAATTCAAAAGTGGGCTCCACCTTGAGGAGAAATACGATTTGCATAGAAACACGTACACTATCACAAAATATGGGTACGCATCCGCTTTTATGCCCCAAATTCCAAACGAAAGGCATCATAGATGGTCTATTATAACCTATAAGTTATATTGGGTGATTAGGATTGGATTGATTTTAGATTAACAATTAGGATTTGACTGAAGGGCTAACATTAAGTATTTGTGGTTTAATTCTCAGGTTGTTAAATTTGTTATCAAAGATCCAATATCAAAATTTTGATGTGACCTATTTTTTTGAGAGAAGGAGAATGTGTGGCATAGACAGAAAGAGAGAATTGGAGAATGGTCTTGAAGAATTATGTGTATTATTTGCAGACCTTGTGCCTTTATTTATAATAATGATGAGAGATTAACTTACTCTCAAAGTAATACAAGGTTTAATAGGAAGATCTTCAAGATGCTGAAAGATTCTTAATTTATCTCTATTTAGAATTTACACAATCACACTATGTTAAATATTAATTACAACACTCCCCCTTGAGTATGTAATTCCTCAGGCAATAGACACATCAAATCTTCATGCAATACAAGGAAAAACAACTGAAGATGTCTTGCGTTAGTTGTTTTATTGTTCAGTAATGCATTTTGACAATTACAATGAAATAGAACTAACGCAGGACATTTTTGGAAACGTGTTGTGTCCGATTTAAAAAAAGACATCTCGCACGCATGTGAAAGGCTAGCTTCTTTAATTTTTAAAATAAAAAATATATTTTAAACAAAAATAAATAAAGAATAAAAATTATAAATAAAGAATAAGACGTAAAAGAGTAAACTATCATCATTTATACCATCTCTCTAATAGAGATAACGCTTACCAACACATGTGGTCCCATTTGTATTAGAGAGTTGGTACAAAAAAATGGTAAAAATTGTATTTTTGTAAATTTTTTTATTAAAATAGCTAATTAAATAAAATTCAACAGTATAAACAACTTACAAGCTAGGAGAAATCAAGAAGGAAATAAAGTGGCACAAAGGAGATGATGGCATGAAACTTTAAAACACAAAGTTGAAGTTTAGAGGGGGCACATTGGCACAAAACAGAAGGAAATAAAGTGACACAAAGGAGTATGTATTGCTAAACCTCATAGAAGTTTAGTTGTGCATACTAATTATCTTCAACTTTGATCTAGGAGAAATCAACAGTACAAGAAATGTTAACTTGGATCCAAACATCATTGTAGCTCAACTTCATCATAATTCTCTCAAAATAGCATTCCTATCATGCATAACGGGTTGGTTCCCCAAGCTTAAGCTAGTAATCTAGTTCATTTTCGTTCTTCAGCACTGGTTGAAGCATCTGAACGCCTTCTCTTGGCCTCATTGTCGCCCAACTGCAGTGAAAAACAAATATCTTCGTCGCAGCCATTCCTTAGCGACGAAAGATTCTCAGAAGCTGTTCTATCGATCTGGTACTTTTTATGTAGTGGGGAGCCTCTGATGAAGCTTGGTATAAACTGATGTTCGACACTGGGGACTGTCTTGATCCCATCTTCCAGATGAAACTCTGTTTCCACTAGAGACGGATTCCTAGGTGGGCTGCTGGGTTCCACTTCTAAAGGAAGATGCTGAATTTGAAGACCCAGTGACTCAAACTTCTCCTCAGATGTTTCCTTTCGAAGCATCGCATATGGAGGGGAAGAGTCGCCGACAGTGGATCCAATTGCCGTTGCTGAAGCAGTCCTTTGTTCTTGTACAGCCACTGCAGTTAACATTTACCCAAATTTGTAATAATTCATGCTACAATCTATGAATTATATGCAAGGAAAATGAGCGAATCAATCAGAGATATGCAGACTAACTACAAATAGACAAATGCAATGCATTGATCATGGTGGAAACCAGCAAAAAGGGCCATTTCCAAAGCACAAACCTCTAAGCCCTTCATCAGTTGTAATGATGTCAAGTTCAAGGAGCTTCAGAAGACGTCCGAGATCAACCCCGCTTGTCCAATTCTCAGGAGGTTGACCAATTTTTAATTTAAGTCGTCCTCGGTTAGCAGTACCGCCCCATATGATCCCAATTGGACGTGGCTTCTCACCATTCACACCTTTAAGTACTATGAGGCTCCCGCTGTCTCCTTCAAGGTCAAATGTTTGTTGGTTCTCACCAACAACAAGAAAATCAGTTAAGAAGCATATGCCTTTCTCGTCATTGTACTCGAGAGCATAGGCCAACACAGTTCCAGCAGTCAAACCAGAACTTCGTCCAACCTTCATCACCTGCTTTCCAATAAGGGTACTGATCGGAGACTGCAAGTCAATAATCTTAACGTTGCCAATCTCTCCGACTCCTTTCATGGATGTAATAACAGTACACATGTCAAAATCATCAGCAAAAGGAATGAATGCCCCATCTGCTCTCACAAACGTCTCTGCAATAACATGAATCATCATGAATAACTGTTTCTCTTCCTTCTCCCTTTCCTTCGTTCATTATGTATCACCATTCAATATTGTGCTTGTAATCTTTATATTTAAACTGTGAATTTCTTTACCAGAGCTTGCTCAACTTAGCTAAGTAGATATCCACTTGGAACTTGACAGAACGGTGAAAGAAACAAAGTCAAGCTACTCAAATTTGGATTGATGAGCACCCTTGAGAGAAAATATTATTAAATCCATCTCCAAAAGCAATATAAGTTGTATTACCAACTTTTAATTCCATATTTACCTGGGTTAATTCCGGCAAAGATGCCATACCAAAGCTCATCTGTGATAAATGAGGTAGCTCTCTCCACTGCACCGAGATATACCCCAGGTCCAAGCGAAGGAGGCAGGGGATGAAACATCTTTTGATTTGGGTAATCTAAGTCAACTGCAACATGCCGATTTGTGAGAAAACCAACTTGCCGATTGCCTGTTTGGCTCCTTACTATCGCACCCAATGTTCCATAAGTTTCCTGGCTTGCCACCTGAGTACAAGCAAACAAACAATGTACTTACCGGCATTCATAATTAAAAGGTTGCCAGAATAAGGATGGGATAACAGTAATGCAGTAGACAGTATTAGAATAAAAATGCACTTTAATACTCGCGTATCACATTTTAAGAGTACAACACTTTACCGGCATTCAGGCTTTGTTGTTGTTGTTGTTGTAACAGGGGAAAGCTAATTAATATTTAGTTGTTGTCATTTCAAGGTATTGCTCCTCACTTGGCCCCCATTTGTTTTGGTTTACTAGATTACACCATGAAACATGACAAGCTCAATAGGTAACCTAAACATACCTGAGAACCTGAGCCAATGCATGGATCACCTCCACGCAAATCATCTACAATTTCTGTGTACAATTGTTCTTTGGGAGCTGGCTCGGGTGCACCAAAATATGAGAATTCCACAACGTCCACATCACACCATACACCTCCAGGTCCCTGATTAAATTAGAAAGAATTGTTTTAACTAAACTTCTAAACACAAGTAAATTCAGATGGAATAGGCATCGATAACCCAAAACAAACTTGACGACTAACAAATGAATGAACAATTGAAGCGTTCTTAACATTCTTCCCTGACCTCTAGGGCAGTGGGTAAACACTGTATTGGACTGAGCCATTGCTTGTGAACTTTTCTTGAAACAAAGACAAGAATAGCTGGTATGTCAGTTAACACACCCCGTCTAATACGAAACCCAATTGCTGTTCCAAGACTATAACATCGCAAAATCTTGCTATGAAATGCCCTTATAGTCATCAGTTCAAGCAATGTATTCGCTTGCTGCCCTTTTGGCAACTGACCAAGAGTTTCAGGCAGGACCCCTTTCTGTAGATTAGTGAAATAGTTTGCCCTCTCTTCAGCAGCGTCACTCAATCGGCTTGAGGTAGGCCACGAGAAGTAAGCAGCGCTAGTCTCAGAATGCTGTCCAGCTGATGCAAAGGGTTGAAGCGTTGGTGGACTTAACGAAGGTAAATTAGAATGACTGCAACAGTTTCTCTCAAGATCCAAGGCCGACTCATCTGATAGCGTTGAAGCCGAACAACGCATCCTCATATTAAATCTACTCCGCTCCATCTTTCCGGTTTTCCTAACACGATAACAGAGTGAAAAAAAAAACTGGAGGGACGGTACTAGGTAACAATACTGTAACTTACAAAAATGAACAGAAAAAACAGGAGATTTTAGGTTGCAATCACAATACGCTAAACTGCTCGGCAGAAATTCAAGCAAGACAATATTAAATCCGGTATTAGACATGACAGGGATTGAGTGGACCATACAATCCCCAATTAAGTGCAGACTGCAGAGTGAAGACATGCCCCAAAAGACAAATGGATTATGAAACATCCTCCTACAGTAACAGCAAGGTTAACACACCTAAAAGTTTCAACATTACATATAATTGTGATGTTTTCCACTACACATACAAGAAAAGCATGCTATAAGCCCCAAAACAACTTTAAGAGCACCATCCAACTTTTGAGCACCACCCAAATCGGAGATTAATACAGAAAAGTTCCTAAAATCAAGTAATGAGATTTGACAAAGAAATGATTTCCCTCCCCAATTATGTCTTGTTTCCTAGAAAAAGGAAGAAATGAAGAGTATAATAAAGTAAAATCTTCTGCTTTCTAGCTCTAAAAAATCATATCAAGCTAAGACTGACTTCGACATTCGCTTTTTAACTCGAAGATTATGAAAAATAAGAACTTTCACATTCCTTGATCTTCTTCTGCCTCACCAACCGCACAGCAGAAGCTGTGGAGGGTAGCAAAGAAGCTTGCGGAAAGACTATATGACCAAAATGTTCCAAATTTTACACAAGCAGTAGAAAAAATCGTTTCGGATCGCCGTTAAACGGTAACATCCAATCACAAAGGCAACATACAACAAGCAATTCATCAAGCTCATGTAATCAAAAAAGAAAAAAGCAAACCCAGCAGTAACCAGAAAAGCAAACTTTTTTCAGTCATGAGTACTGAAATCACTAACTCACCCACTAAATACAACAACTTGAACAAAAACTCAAACACATAAACTGAGTTAAAAGAAGAAAGCTCACTGATCAGCAATGGCGGAGCTGCTGCAGAACACAAAAATATGATATGGATTCTTCTTGCAGGAACCTCAGAATCACAGAACACCTCAGAGAAAAAGACCCAGATAACAATTCAGCGGATTTGGAGCAAGAATCGGGTCAAAAGCTTCTGAGATTGCCAGTTTGGTTGTTTGCAGCAAAGTGTTTGCTGCTGCTATAGAAGAAACCCATGAAATTAAAGCTGGTAAAGTGACCAGCTTGTGCGCTTATTTTAATAAGCTTTAATCAATATTTTTATGGGGAAGAGAGAGTGGAATGGGGTATCAATATTTTCAGGAGTAAAAGGTAATGTTAGGAAATCAAAATTTTAAATTATATTTATAAATTAAATGATATATCATCAATAAAAAATAAGTACGTTAATCAATATTTAAGTAATAATTTAATTATCAGCGTCTATATTATTTGGTTTATAAAATTTGGTTTAAAAATTTAGTTTTCCTAACATTATTTATATTTTTATAGGAAGAGAGAGTGAGTGGAGTGGGGTGGGGTGGGAAATTGAGGATAGTAGAGGGGGTTGTTGCTAATTCATGGGTCTTGGATCTGTCTGATTTTTATGGCTTTGGCTCCATAAACTTGAAAAACTGATTCTATAGTTTGGAAGAAGTATCCAATCCGTACGTAGAGCATCACATTTGTATTAGAGATGGAGAATCGAATACAGAACACCGTCAAGAGATAGTACTTTTAACCGCACTTCGAGTTACAAGCTTGTATATGTACGTAGGGCACCACATTTGTCTTTGAGGAGGAGGAGAAACGAATACAGAACACTATATCCAAAGAAAATACTTTAACTACTTGAGTTCCCAACTCTTTGTATAGAGCATCGTATTAATGCCTACGAATAAAATAAAGGGAAATACTTCAAAATGAGACAATTCCTTAATCTTGGGACAAAAATAGGACAACCGGCCATGCACAAAACTGAAATTACTAAAATACCCAACTATAAATGGGTTATTTCCTCATATTTTCTGATTTCTCTTTGTACTCTCTCTCCCTTCTTTCACTTTCTTCCTCACGCACTCTTTCTCCCCTTCTCATTGTGCATACATGGTGCACTATCGTCCAGACCAACACCATCCAAATCGAAGCCACCACCAATTTCATCTCGTCCTCATGAGTCCAAAACACCTAGCCTTATCACAAATCACATCCCCGATCGTTGGGATCGAAACTCAAGTAGGCCGCGAGTTTTGTGGCCATTTTCCAACAACACGGCAAACAACCGAGGCTCGAGACCACCACCATTGGACTCGCATCGAGGGTGGGAACAAAGTCCATTCATTAAATGTTGGTGTTTTGTTGGATGAATTTTTCAGGATTTGCTCACTATATGTACACGACATGCACATAATATGCTAACAGATCTGAGCCAACCCAAAAATCTAGAGCTCATAGCTCTTTTTTTTAAATAAAAAAAATGATGTCATTACCTGTGACGTCACCACCATATACACTATATCACACCACATGCACATCATATGTATAGTACATGCACATGATATGCACAGAATTGGAGACCGATCAATGAGCTGTTTTTCGCATTAATAAGAAACTTTAAGGACAACCTATTAGTATAGTGGATACTATTAAACCATAATTCTTACATATATAAGGTTACAACGGTAGTTTGAAAAGTTTTGTTATGTACATCAGTCACCGCTTAACCTTGCACGTGGAAAACATGACACTTGTTGTTGTTATTTCATGGACATGCATGATCCTTAACGTCCTCTAAGCTTTTTCTTAATTTTTTTTTTTTTTTTGCCGAGGCCAACTAGGTTGTGGTCATATTCGCTAAATTCCAGGACACAACATACATGCATCATAACTAGTGAACATTACTGCTTCTCATATTAAGATGTAGCCATGCACACCATATGCACATCACATCACATGCACATTACGGAAAAAAATTCACAAATTTCACTAATTTTTTGGTTGAGCTCAAATTTGTGAGCATAACATGTGCATGTCGTGTACATACAGTGTATAAGCGAGCTTAATACGAAAAGAACGAATGAGTACGTGAAATAATTTCGTCTATATCATTCTCTCTTCCTTCTTTCTACTCTGATTTCCCTCTTTTCCCTCAAATTTATCTCTTCTCCAAAAGGCAACTGACACTTAATACGTTTTTTTCATTTAACTGCAGCAAAAGTCAAATCATATTTTAGTGCTTGTAGATTTGGATCGAGAGAGGGAGCAGAGGGAGGAAGAAGGCAGAAGAAATGAAAACCCACATAGAAATAAGAGAAATGATAAAAAAAGTAAAAAATAAAAAATGAAGGATATGGGTCTCCTCTAAGAAACACCAAACAAATCACTTCAACTTCAAAAATCCATCAATCAAAAAGCAAAATTAAGCTAACTCAGTTCACAAAACCTACAAATGAAAAGGTAAAATCCGAAGAAGATGGGAATGTTAGAGAGAGAGCTCTTATGCATATTCGAAATTTAGAAAGATAGGAGACAAAGAGAGAGAGAGAGAAAAAGAGAGAGAGCTTGGATGAAGAAGATAGGTGGGTTAAAGAGAGCTCTTGGATGAAGAAGATGGATGGGTTAGGGTTCTTCCAATTGGAATTGGGCGAAAGAGATTTTCTCTCTCTCCATCTCTCTCTACAAAATGAGAAATAAAGGCTGGAATTTCTAGATAACCCATTTATATGGGAGAACAATTTGGTCATTTCAAGGTGTAGGAAAAATCCTATTTCTGTCCAATTGTTGTGCATGGCGTGTGCATGCCATGTGCATATTCAAAATGTCCTATTTCTATTCCAAGATTAAAAAATTGGCTCATTTTGAGATATGTCCCTAAAATTAAAATAATATACTTGTTCGTCTCACGTTTGGTGAAAGAAAGTATTTTGTAGATGTCAAGCCACATTGTTTTTGGAAAATATTGTAAATTGGATCCTTATGATTAATGAGATGTTGGTTTTCAGCAGTTTGTAGATTCTTTTACCATCTCTCTTTCAGGTGTATTAAACAAAGGCACCCTCCCAAAACGTCAGTCGAAAATCTCTTAAAATCTGTGACAGAATCCGGTGGTTCCAACTATAAGAAATTCTCCTGCGCTAAATCAAGAACAACAATGACAGAGGTAGCTCCAACTCCGAGGGGCCTACATAACCAGTGGAGAGCTCCATTGACAAATGTCCCTCCGTAAGGACCGTAACTATCCAAAAGATGTAAGGAAAGTCTTGAACCCTTGTCCCTGAATTGGTTTTCAGTGACAAGTGACAACACAAGCACCATGCATCCATAAGCAACCTTCACAAACTTGTAATCATCGGTGGACGGAGTGACCAAAACTGTGGACATGAGGATGAGGACGCGAGCCCGTTACGGGTTCAGGGCAAACATGAATTGGGATGGGGCAATCTGGTATTTTGAAGGACTCTGCAGTGCAGGGATTTTGGCTGAGGCACAATGCAGACCAACCCATTACAGGAACCAAACATTTTGATCCAATCGATATCGGGGTCGTCCTTGAGCGGAAAATCAAGCTCTAAAGGCAAAACATCTTCATCATCATCTACAGGGGCTAGATTGCCTAAGGAATATAGAGAATTATCAGCATTAATGCGAGGGGTTCTTCTGCAAATCCAGTGACAATCTTCTCTCTTTCTCTCTGTGCTCGTGCCTTGGTATTTCTATCTTAATTTATAGTGCACTGGCGACTCATTCTGTTTGGAGTTTTGGACGAAGGACGATCATCTCTCCAAGCAAAGGGAGTTCTCCGACGAACACGAGGATGGCTTTTTGTTGAAGCGTGAGAAGCAAGACTGAAAGAGAGCAGTGCAATAAGTAAACGTGGCAAACGGTGGGTTTCTCAATTTATTCCTTCTTTTTTTTTTTTTTTGGATTAGATGTCTCGCTTTATTTTTTATATCGCTTCAAGAATGCATTATCATGTGTAAGTTTTTCTTTCCAACACAAATTATTGGGCCTAAACGTATTTGTCTTCGACCTAAACGCTATAATGGAGTGAACCAATTGCATACAAGTTGCTCTCACACTTTTCCCCATTTCGTTAACAGAGTTGAGAGAAGCGTGAGTTTTGGTAACAATCATGGAAAATTTGGGTGGGGAAACAAGGTGATTTTTGTGCCAAGGTGATTTTGTGTGTTAAATGTGAAAACAAGGTGAAAATACGAAGGAGCAAAACCAACGCCTCCTTCAAATGAAGTAAAATGAAACCAAAATGATGAGCATCGGACTCAAAGTGAGAAAGAAAAGAGTGTAGAGTGGCAAAAGTGTGATTTTATGTAGAATATTTGGAGACAAAGTAAAAATTAAGCCTACTTTCTAATCGTTGATTCTCCTCTAATTTAAATAAAATGTATGAAGAGTAGAGGCTGGAGAATGACAATATCAAACAAAAAAAGACACAAAACCTCGCATGAATTCCCTATTGAAAAGTCAGACACAAAGAACAACTTCGTAACCACTAGATCTAGACTTTTATGCTTCATAAAATCGTAGTCATTGTCATTCATTAACCTCTAAAACTACAATGTCGTTAACAGACTAACTGAAAACATAACAATCACCTGCTTTATGTCTCCGCGATCAAATCACCAGAGAATTTACATCACAACTAGTGAAAGGTCAACAAGGAGCGACTTCATAAACCACTGGATCAACTTGCTCAGTTACTTGTCTTGGTCAGAACCTTGCTCAGCTCAGTTACAAGAAGCAAGTAGTTCATATTCACTAGGAGTAGAAATGTGTAGAATGTAATCGGAATTAGACGCAACTGCAAATTCTTGTGATAACTCGGTGAGATGAGGCTCTCCACATACACATCAGCACAGAATTTATCTGGAAGGCCATTTGCCAAGAAATTTTTGCAAGTCCCATCATTTGGATTGCACAGAAGTAACTGTTTCCAACTCCTCGCCAGTAAGATCTTGTTATTCTTCCAGTAACATAATGGCTTCAAAGAAGTAGACAAATATGGTTCAGCTATAAAAATTCTAGTCCACGACTCTTTCACACCATAATCCTTCATAACCCAAAATGAGTATTCTCTATTATGCTGGTATAGTAAACAAAGACTCCCTTCCAGAACGCCAGTTGTAAACGTCTGATAATCAGTGACAGAATTAGGTGTGGGCAAGTCTGAGAACTTCTCCTCCGCTAAATCAAAAGCAGCAATGACGCAGTTACCACCATTTTCAAGCTGTCCGCATAACCAATGGACAGTTCCATTGAGAAACGTCCCTGAACCCTCCAAATGATGTTTGTAAGGAAAGTCTTGAACCCTTTTCCACGAATTGCTTCTCAATGAAAAAATGAGAATCATGCACCCATAAGCAATCGTGAAAAACTTGTAATCATCAACAGAATGAGCATAACCAAAACCATATGCATGATTGAACCCTACTTCTTGAGGTTGTGGAGGACATTTATGACTTGGAATGGGGCAATCTGGCACTCTCAAGGACTCTCTAGTGGTAGGATTGAATATAAAGAAGGTTTCTGGCTGAGGCATGATGCAGACCAAACCATTGGAAGTACCAAACACATGAACCCACTCAGTGTTGGGGTGGTTCTTGAGTGGAAAATCAATCTCCAATGGCAACATATCATCATCTATAGGTGCTTCAGGGTCCAAGGAGAATAACGAATTTTCAGAACTGAAAATGATTTTTTGCTTCTGGAACCGATCTAGATGGGTTTTGGTGAAGTTGGGTTCACTGGTTAGACGGAGCCATGACTTTGATATGCACCTGAATCGGCACACTGACTTGAGAGGAAGTCGAGAGAGTATATCGGCAATGATATCCATTGAAAGGTCTGGCATGTCTACTTCACTTGACACTGAGATAACAGACGTAAGTAAATTTGAGCCACCTAAATCTTGTTTGCACCAAAGCCCACATCACAAGTAAGCAAAATCAATAGTTCAAAAATTAACTAATAGATTTTCATACACAACATTATATGCTTTCGGTTTAATTAAGCAATATATTCCATAAACAACAAATAATTCCCTCACATTCTGGTTCATGCATAAACAAATCATCTCTTCGAAGATGGGATTTACCCTAAATTTCCAATCTTTCACCTTCTCAATTCTTTACACTAGTGAAAAATAATTATCAAAGGAGTAGTTTTTACGGCAAAAGCAATAATCCCATGTTCACAATTGGCCATTAAATGTGATAAATTACTGCAAATACTGCACAAAATTTGAGTAAAAAACTAAACATGGGTTTATACTAAATGAAAAAATTCTAATAAAAACCCATATATTTAAGAAATTAAAAACCCTTATCAAACAAAGCAATGCTAACCCACATAAACAAAATCCAAAATAAACCCCCTTTAACAAAGAAAATAAGCTAAAGTTGGCAGAAAATAAAAAATAAGCACAGCTAAAACGAAAAAATACCCAGAAACACGAGCGCGACGGCGGCGAAGTGAATCGACAGACAGCTCCGACTTGTCTCTCTTCGTCTATCTTAATCAGCACTGGCAACACAAGTAAAAAAAACGAGTCAATAAAAATAGAAAGAAAACAAAAAATGGAGTCTTGAAAATCTAAAAGGGGAAATTAGGCAAACCCTAGAAATGGGCTCCAAGAACTTCAAAAATCATACTCTTGTCTCTTCGGCCATCGCGAGTAGCTTAATGGAGAAGCTATGGGGAGTTGAAAGTTCGAATTTTTAATTTTGTCAGCAAGTTTGGTAGTTATAGGGAGATCGTATAAAGGGAATTTTTTTACTAAAAGAATATTTTGCGTGCTGATCTTCTTCCACTAGTATTGCGGTCCGCTGACACGTTTAATCGGCAAAATAAAACAGGACAGAAGAAAAACTATGTGAATTTGGGATCGGAGGTGGATTGTCTGCCCTCGGATCAGGATCCTCTCCTGAGCAAATGGACAGGATCCTCCTGATCGGACCAATCAGACCGTTCAAAATTTATCTAACGGCTATAAACAGCAAGTTTTATTAAAAATTATAATAATTATAACCGTTGAATAAAATTTGAAAGGCCTGATGGATCCGGTCCGGAGGATCCTCTCCATTTGCTCAGGAGAGGATCCTGATCCGTCTGCCCTCCTCTTTGCATGCCCTTTTTATTCATTTCTATTTGTGCGGTCACAGTTAAGCCACGTCAATATTTTATATTCTTATTACTTTTTGTCTTATTATCTCTATAGAAAATTAATATAAAATATTAACGTGGTTTAATAATAACTGCCCAAAATAAGAGAATATGAGAAATGCATCCAAACAGTAAGGCAGACAATCTCCCTCCTTTGGGATCGGCCCAGCATAAACAAACTTATTAATTGGACTGGCTTGGTTCTATTTAGGTTTGGTTTAGGGGTTTTGTCCCAAAATAAAAAAAATTTCGTTCTCAGTTTGGTTTAGTTTGGTTTTATTTATCTTTCAAAAAGTATGTAGACAATTGGATTAAAATGCGAGTATCTTGTTCTATTTAAAGAGAAGCAAGCCCTCAGTAGTTTGGCAAAGCTCTCAAACGGATGCAGCAATGTGTGTATATATATCTTGACTTGTACATTCCAGAACACAACAACTCAATTGAATCGTTGTATAAGTCCAAATCCATACGCATGATATAAAATTTCAAAATTCCACCACAAGACCTTTATTTGGACAATAAGAAAAACAATTAAAGTGGAGGAGTAGGGAGGATGATCGCAGGAGAAAGTGGAGTGTGAGACGAGGGTGAAGAAAATGAGAGAGAAAGGGTTTTATTTAGAGGTATGCTATAAACACACTTTTTTTTACTTCTCACACATCACTTGTTAAATTATATTATTTAATCTTCTTCAATTTATCTAATTCGTATATAAAAAGTAAAAATAGGTATGTGAATATCTCATCCATCATTTATAGGCTCTAGCATTACCACGTAGTTAATAGGGCAATAAACACAAAACACTAGGGCTTACTTAATGGTAAGAAGCATGGAGACTCATTAAAGCATCTCTAAAAGAGAAGTCAAAAGCTCCACATAAGCAAAACAGTGAAAAATACAATATTAATGTTTTTCAACCGAAATGTCAATTCCTTGGCATGATATTTTTCGATACTGGTTTGATATACCTTATGTTTTCTTTAGTGATTAATAATTGTTTTTCATCATTTTATTAATTTTTTATTTTAAAAATACTTATTGCAATTATGAAAAGTAAATAATAGTTTAAATTTGACCTATTGGATGAAGAACAAATTTAAAATAAAAAAAAAAGATCAAAATACCACACATGCCTTCAAATTTAAATTTAATATTTAAAATTTGACATCTCCGTTTGAGATGGTCTTAGTTTAGTATTTATTCAAGAACTATTATAAGCATTTAATAAAAAAAGGATTATACACTCTAATAACAGCACCAAATTATTATTATTGGGCACTCCCCAAGTATCAAAAGCATATACAAATCATTTTAACATGCTTCAAATAGACCCTTAGGGACGTTTATTTTAATTTTATATGAGAGAATTTCAAGAATATTGATAGAGTACAACATCATAACCCCATGACAAGCACAAATAAAATCATACTGGCATGATCCATCAAATTAAACGCCATTGTGGTTACAACAAAAAATAAATAAATTAAACATAATCATCAATAGCAGCAAAGGAATGATCTTTGAATTAGCAGATCAAACACCAACAGCCCTAATTATTCAGAACACATAGAGGGCAGCCAATTCCTCCAATGACTCTGAAGTGCTACCAAAGCTGGGATCTTCTGCATTATTCTCCAGCATCCACAACAAGTGATCAAACAAAACCACCTCACAGTTGACAAATATATCATCCTCCTCTCCTCGCTTTTGCTTCGATGACTTGTTGATCAAGGCATCTAACAACGGATGGTTGAGGTACTTTGAGTTAATCACGTAACGTTTCCTCGTGCTTCCTACATATATTATAGATTGGTGATGATGATGAGGATGAAGCTCATGATTTTCATGCCTCAATATAGCTTCCCTCGTAGATTTCGACCTTAGGCTACTATACGACGACGATCTCCCTAGCTGCCTTGACAAGCTCTTGCACTTCCTTAGCAGAATATTCATCTTCTTCATCCTTAAAGACCCTTATTTTTTTTTATGAACGATGAGAGAGAGAGAGAGAGAGAGAGAGAGAGAGAGATGGGGTGTTAATTTGGATGGAGAAGTAATTAGGGTGATGGGAAATATATAGGAGGCTTGGAAGACACTCATGAAATCACAAAAGTAGGAGTTAAGATGTGAGGATTGGGTTGAGTTGGTGCAAAGTCGTTGTTTTCCGCTGCTGGAAAAACAAGTGGGGTCTATAAAATGTGCAACCGAACATTTTTTGAGTGACCAAAACAAGTCATCTGTTTTGCTGAATGCAAATGTTGTGCCTGGTGCGGGGGGGCTTCTTTTACACACCTAGGTACAATAGACAGACAAGCAAGCACAAGCTCGGAGTAAGATTTTATTCTCTCTAAATTTCGTTTCCCTCCAATCTCTTCCTATTTGAAAGTCACGATTAAGCCCACGTCAACATTTGGTGTGACTTTTTTTTTATAGAGAGAGTAAAAAATAAATGTGAGATGAGAGAATTGGAGGGGAGGAAATTTAGAGGAAAGGGAATCCTACTCCAAATTTTAATTATCTAATAGTCTACCTACCAAAACTCAACTAGGCTGAGGAATTTAAATGTTAATCAAGCATCATCTCAGTTGGTCACTTCAAAGATAACTATAATAAATCACAAGCAACAGCGGACACAACTAAAACTCACTTAAGAGTCCGGCTTCAATGATATAAGCATTCAAAGTTATGAGTGTTTTAACCTTTAAATTTGATTTATATTACTACTAGATTTTCTGTTTTCAATCTTAGTCATTCGTTTTCGGTATCATTTAATACTACGTATCATTGAAGAAATTTCCCTTGGATAAATATTAAACAACAATATAATTAAAATGCTAGGTGAAACGCTTTTGCAACAATCCATTCCCGTCGAGAAAACCCTTTTCAGGGCAGCAATCAATTAATTATATGAAAGAAGGTTTATCGAACCCCTTATGGACTCCAGTTCGAATCCCTCTTTCGTAATTTAAATAAAATTAATGCAAGAAAAATTGATGATTGCATGGGACCCTTGGAGTTAATAATGCAATTAGGATGGACAAAGTGTTGATTACGAATGAAAAATGCAGATACATCCGTTATCATTTTCTCCTAACACGCTAGCTGGATTCCACCAGTCATGTATTGTTGTGTGATGTGGCAGTAAACTGCTTGTTGTTGCTGTGTCTTGACAATCACCGGAAACATGCTCGGCCACTCACCAAATATGTTGAGAGCATCTCATCATGATCCAGTTGAAATGACTCCATCTCCTCCCATTTAGATTGACACGTCATCCTCGTTTTGATTTGAGGTGCATGTTTTTCGACTAATTAAATCAACACAAATTTAATCTGCGTTGTTTTCAGGTTAAGTCTAACATGGCTCACCATTAACATCATAAAAGATCTCGGTAATATTGGTAGTAAACCTCCGGCATAAATTGTATACCAACCTTGTTTGATTTGAGATGCATGTCTTTCGGGCATAAATTGTATATCAACCTTGTTTGATTTGAGATGCATGTATTTCGGCTAACTAAACCAACAACAATTTAATCCATGTCGTTTTCGGATAAGATGTATAAAACCCTAAATACAGAAAAACTTCCTTGTTCTATCTCTCTCATTATGTGATGCGTCAAGTGAAGAAGTGAGACAAGAACAACGGGTGCATGCCCCATTTGCACGCAAGTTCTTCTCTTAGACACGGATCACTTATGGATTAGCAACCATGAGCATTTCGACCGACATTACCATAACCCAAACACATTCTTTGTATTTAGCACTAATCCGTCAATTTTGTGTTAGTTTCCAGTCGTGGTGTCATGTCATTCATCACACGTAAACATAACCACTTTGTCATAATCAAATAATTAATGCAAGTGGGACCAAATCACATAAAATTCTGCTAAGACAAGGTGTGTGTTTTGGAAAATAATGAATGGTTTATTCTCTAGCCTTGCGTTCCAAGTCTGCATATATATAGCAGCAGCAAGGGGATCTTCACTTGCTTAGAAGCAAAAACATCATTAATCGAATAATCAAAAGTACTTAAAGCAGCAGGGCCAAGTGATAAATCAATGTCTCCTTTTTTTGGCCAAATCACTAAATCTTGTCCCTTTGAAACCAAACTTAAGACAAATTATTTTTAGTTGTTGACGGGGACGTCTGATCTTCTTCACTTACTGCTTAAGAATTTATTTTTTTTGCAGTACATTTTAATGTCATTTTGAAAATACCTCCCACCCCGAAATTGATTTAAACTCCGGAGAAAAAACCGAGCATAAGTTCACTTGCGACATCATGAGGAATCCGGTGAAATCATATAGGACTCAAAGATGAGACTATAAACACGATACGAAGCATGACAGGGCATGAAAATTGCCTCCAAGCGTTCTCCGAATCACCTATTTATATAAAGATTACGAATGCAATGATGTTTACTAAAATACAATGAAGTCCAGTAAATTCGATCCACCCTTAATTGTTGAATTTCCATATTCTTTCTTGAATAATTAGGATTTCAAAATCTTAGTTTCCAAAACATCAACAGTCGATTGAGCTATTTACTCTTCAAGCAAAATTTGGTAATCTCGACGTATAACAAAAGAATACTTCATCATACCAAACTCAGGACTTGAATGTAAATCAATGTCGTCCATCTTGTGAAGTAAGCTGCATCTAGTTGGCCCCCCGAAAGATAAAGCTGTTTCCGTGAAACCATATGAGCTTGTTAGACGTTAAAACGAAACAGCATCACGTCTCCTTCTTGTACAATGTAATCTTTGCCCTCAGATCTCAACTGCAAACATCAGAGTAGATTGGGTGACTCAGTTTGATCTAGAATAATATTTACGGACAAGAGACTTTCACCGACAACAGTGTCTAACGTGTGTCTATACCTTGCTGGCCTTGCTGCAACCCTTAAATTTAAAAGTCAAAAACAGAAATTCACATTTCTCATAAGGGCACTGGTTGTAGGAAACATAGAGGGTGGGACAAGTTGACTTATTAACGTTGTTTAAGATTTTACTTAAGTAAATCAAGTTGTAATTGCTTCGCACCAGTGTGATAGTTATAGTCGTACCCAGTGCACAAGGCTCCCGCTTTAGGCAGGGTTTGGGAGAGGTAAATGTCAGCTAGCCTTACCCCCATTTATGGAGAGGCTGCTCCCAAGTCTCGAACCCGAGACCTACAGCTCATGGGCGAAGGCACTTGCCATCGCACCAAGTGCGACCTCTAGTGTGATAGTTATAGTGCCCAGAAATAAATCCACGGCTCTATAATCTTGACCAAAGTTGGAAAGCATTATAAGTGTTGCTACTAGCAAACAAGAGAATTAAAGCCTAATAACAAGCAGAAAACTTACAACTCCTCTTTCCCTTGCTGCAGCAAGCGAACCAGCAGCGACAAAATCATCATAAGCCACCTAACAATAAAGAACAAAAAGTGTTATTATTTTCATATTTCCCATGGATCATTTTAATGTGCAAGGACATGATCTCTTAGTTTCATTGTTCTAGTAACAGTATTAAAAACTTTACTAAATAGCTAAACTGTTTTATAAAGAAATTATAAAATTAGCACTCCATTATTTTAATTTAGATTAACGAGTTTACGAATATTAACTGCTATATGCTGTCTTAAACATTAAACAAAACTTAGGTAGAATTGAATGGTTCAAAGCTCACTTCAAATTAAGTGATTCAAACCAATTGTTCAAACAAATTTAAAAATAGCTATTACCTATAGTGGATGAAAGAGTTACAACCTCTATCTATGATTCTTACCGTCTCAGCTCGAATGAAACCTTTCTCAAAGTCAGAGTGTATGACCCCAGCAGCTTGGGGTGCAGTCATTCCTAAATCAACCAAATACAAGAATCAGAGAACAACATTATATGATGAACTTGTTAATCGAACTTCCTAACCTATCTAAGTAGCGGCAGCAAGGGACCTTCTTTTCCATACAAAGAAAAAAAGATGGCAACGGCAATTCAAAACAGAAAATTTTCAACCTACACTCATCAGTAAACAAATTCTATGTGTACAAGTTTCCAAATATGATATAGATAACAGCATATAGCCTATGCTAGAACTTGGTTGAAGCATTCAAGGTCCCGTCAGAGGTATTTAATTATATGTGTTTAGTACACAAATTACATTTTAGCAAAACTAAAGCTCACCTGCAAGTATGGTCCATGCTTTTGTTTCCTGTAAACAACATAGCAACACCCTTCGTAACAAAAATGAAAAATGTTAACCACAATCAGAAAAATTCACAAGCTCATTCTTATAACCTTCTCTCCGGATGTAAAGTAAGTACGTAGCCCCAAAACGCTATATGTTGCTCTGATAAGGTTTCCGAGACCACTTTCACCAACACCAAGAGATTCCAAAAATTCTGTTCTTTCTTCATATGGTAATTCAGTGAGCTCAGACTCAACCTGCAAATGCAAACTACCTAGTTCACATGTTTGAGTGTAATAATTGAAGGCAAACAAAAATGTACGAACACAGATCCGCTAGTCTCAGACAAAGTATCACTAGATTCCTATCAAACATTTTAAACAGAGAGAAAGGCATGTTGCGATAATTTGCTCAATTTCAAACAATAATACTTAGGTTCTCATGTATCACCAAACCTGTGCAGAAATAGTCACAACTCCAGATTGCAACTCAGGAGCAAGATTCATCACTTCTTTGACGTGAGGATTAAGCTCAGGTTCAGCTAGATCAGATTCTGCAACATTAGCAACATATATAATAGGTTTCATTGTAAGCAAGCAAAGATGCTTCACAGCATCTTTTTCCAAATCTGTTAAAGCGACTGATCGTGCTGGTTTTCCATCCATCAGTGCATTCTGAATTTTGTCTAAGGTGGACCTTTCTGTTTCCTCCTGAAATTAGAACTCTGAGTCTATGATTTTGTAAAACCTTAATAATTTGGGAAATAAAGGAGAAAAAAATATTGAGGGGATATAGTGTGATGATAGCACATATTTGTGCACTGTACAGTAAGTTAGCATTGGATAAAACTATACCTTAGCTTTGGTTTGTGAGTCTTTTGCCTTTCCTTTTTTCAGCTTCTCCATTCTCTTCTCAATCTGCATTTCTTGTGAATAAGACAATTTAGTTCAATCAGCTCATACCATCTTAGCAAGCTGGTATTAATATTAAACACAAATAGCAGATGATAGAGGCCCCCTAAGAAAAAAGTTTAAGATGTTAAGACAAGGAATTCTCAAGACAGAGTTCTCATAAAAAATAATTATCTACATCATCAACTTTAAACCAGAAAGTGGCATTAGCATTTAACAATATAGTTTGCATTAAATACATGCATACATATATATGGATGGGTGTGTCGAGGGTTGTCTTATTCATACAGCTAGGATAAGGCACCGCGATTAGTTCACTGCCTAAATACTTCCCATAAATCATCAATTGACAAGCTCATGAATTGATTTTAAGTCCTGGCGCTCATCATTTATGCCCAATTTCAAATCAAACTGGTTTTAGACCAACTGGTTTATTTTACAAGCAAAGACCAGAAAGGGACAGACAAGGAATCAGGATCTACCACATCAGAAGGTTTGAGAATAATGGTAAGCTTATAGAGGAATTTTAATTAGCAAACCTGGTCTAGATCTGAGAAAATAAGCTCCAAGTTGATAACATCAATATCTGCCTTAGGATCAACTTTGCCACTCACATGAACAACATCGTTATCTTCAAAACAGCGAACGACCTGAAACAACAATCAACATGTCAATAATGTAGTGGAGCTTAGAATTACTGATGAAAAGCACTACTGCACAGTTGATAAAAAGATATGAATACAACAACAACAAAGCCTTTTCCCACTGAGTGGGGTCGGCTGATAAAAAGATATGAATTTTTAGGTCGTACCCAGTGCACAAGGCTCCCGCTTTACGCAGGGTCTGGGAGAGGTGAATGTCGGCTAGCCTTACCCCCATTTATGGAGAGGCTGCTCCCAAGTCTCGAACCCGAGACCTACCGCTAAACTAAAGTCGGCTGATAAAAAGATATGAATGATTTCCATAAATTGGTTCTTCTCTAAACTAAAGTCAGGATTGTGAAAGATTTTACATTTTAATGGTCGTTCTTTACAGAAAAAAAAAATGTTATCTTAAATTCAAATCAAATTTTGTTCTATAAGATCAATATCCATCCATCAGACTGGCAAAGGAGAATGCTCAAAAACAATGACAATGCATGTAATGATTATACAAAACAAAGCACAAAGAAGACGCTGGTCCCCAAAGTATCGACATGAAAAAAAACAATTTTATTAAAACAAACTCATAAAGTGTTTTTGCAATTCAAATTGGGGAAGGCTTCAAAGCCTCTAAACAATATCACCTTTACTTGAGCTCAGTACAATGTTTCCTTTCTTCTAATTTTTTAATCAAAAGTACAGGGTTTTATTAAAATGATTTTTTTTTTTTTTTTTTTTTTTTTTTTTTTTTTTGCAGTACCATAGATAGAGGAGCCAGATCAGTCAAGCAGATAAAAAAAAAAAGTGACAGAATGAAAAACAGAAGACAAGCAAATTCCAAATATAAAATAAAAAATATAAATGCTTGAAAGATTAGATTATTGCTTGTGATTATGCAGCCAGGTTCGGGTCCCAACTTAGTTTTCTTTCTCACCCTAGGCAAAGAAGATTTTAGATCATACTGATATGCACCAGCATGTTATTCCCCATCCCCAACCCATTTTATGGATGGTACTCTCTCACGTCCGTCATTGTATGGAACCTAGACTCTTGTGCTTTAAACTTGTTTTGTTATTAAGGAGAGCACCATTATGCCTGGAAGTCGTTGGTTTGCATGCTACCCTTTACATACAAATATCATAAAATAATAATCCATGAGCATAAAATGTTTCAGCTAAACTTTACTGTTGTTTGCCATGAGTTTTAACAAATAAGTACAGAATGGTCTCTTCTCAAAGAGCAACTAACCTACCTCTCTCTCTCTCTCTCTCTCTGTGTCACAGACCCACACGCATATCCACACAAGCACAAATATTGAGCAACACAACAAATAAACACATTAAGAAACATGGGATTTTGAGTAATGATAGAAAGATGGTAATCACAGACGAACATGACCAAATAGTAAGGGATTGAAACCTGAAGTATGGAGTCCACCTCGCGAATATTTGATAAAAATTTATTCCCTAACCCCTGCAAGTAATGAAAATAGCAAAATTCAGCTGATGCATTCTAACATATTGGCAACATAACTTAAAATCAGAACATGATAATGGAAAGAGAATAAGCAATAGCAATGCAATGTCACCTCCCCTTGACTGGCACCCTTGACGAGGCCAGCAATATCTACAAGTTCTATAGATGCTGGAACTGCCCTCTGAGATTTGCTGAGATCTGAAAGCACACTGAGACGGGGATCTGGAACTGCGACAATTCCTACATTCGGCTCTATAGTACAAAAAGGAAAGTTGGCAGCTTGAGCCTTTCCATTCTCAACCTACACACACAAAAAACCCTTTTCATTTCAACACTGTGTATTGCTTATGATAATACACAGCAGACAAAAATCCAGATTCACAATATAACAGCCATCCGACAATTCGGCCAATACATTTATACGAAAAATTAACACTTCTTTCTCTTATGTGGCTGAAAAAAAGAAATGGGAAAGTAACTACTGATGCAAACTACGCAGTCACAAATCAAAAATATGATCTTTTCTTCTGAGTAAAAAATAAATATACAGTATATTTTCTGAGTGAAATTAAAAATATGGTCTTTAAAAGCCTAAATTTGAAAATACAATCTTTTCTTCTGAGTGAAATTAAAATACAATCTTCATGTGCACAAACAAACAGATAAATTGATAAAAATAAGAAATTCAAATGGAAAGATTGGTTATCCTTGCTTGCATTATCTCAGCAACCAAACACAAAAAAAAAATATATATATATATATAGAGAGAGAGAGAGAGAGAGAGAGAGAGAGAGAGAGAGAGAGAGGGTTGGCTGGGGCATACGACGGCGTTGAAGAGAGTGGACTTGCCGACATTTGGGAGGCCAACGATGCCGGCTTTGAGGCTCATGCTAATTTTTGATGAGGACCCAGCAGAGAAGCCCCGCCTTCTGCCGAAACCGGTGGCTATGACGCCCATCAGCTGTTGATGGTTCCTCTGCTTCAGAGGAACGAGCAGAGACGGAAGCAGCTGACTGCATAGTCCTATTCGAGCCATTGGAGCTTCGAAGCAACCACAAAACCAGAGAGAGAGAAGAGAGAGAGAGAGTTCAATTTATCTGTTTGCGGGGAATTGTGTGTCGCTGTGTTGTGTGTATTCAGAGGGAAATTGTTTTATTTATTTATTTTATATATCTTTATTTTTTAAAATTGAGAAAATCCTCATATATTTTAATTTTTAGAGCCCATATATCAGAAAATCAAACCTCCAACAATTAGATGGGTTCCATGTGAAAAAAACCTCTTGTCCATTGCTTTGTTTGTATCACAATCTTTCCAAGTATCCAGGGCTGATTTGAAACTACTTATGTAGAAGTTAATTATATAAAAGTGTTTTTATTATCAACGTGTTGAAAATTTTATTAAAAATTAAAGTGCTTTCCTACAAAGTACTTTTGAGCTTTTTTTGTTAAATGTAGTCGGAAACGATACTGGTTGTCCAAAAATATTTTTAGTCCTCCATATGCAATTTCAAATAAGTTAATTATTCTTGGCAATAAGCAAGTTTAATCAAATCACTACATTTGACATGTTTATACCTAGAATGACAAAAATCATGAAATCAGTCATGAATAGAGAACAGATTGACTATGAGATCAATTACCCCTCGAAAACTGTAATATAACACGAACATGCTTTTTAATTCTGTATGTGTTAACGGTGAATTTATGAATCAAAGAATTCTAATAGCCCTTCTAGATGAGTGAACACATTATTAAATGATTGACTGATTTGTCTTTAATCTTACTTCTATGTGATAGGTTTACTCTTTAGAGCAATTTGCCATAAAACACCTCCAAATGACAAGGCATGTTGCACTGCTTCAATTTGAAGTAGTTATATTTACAAGTGCTTTTGTTAGAAGCACTTTTATTATATAACATCAAAACTTTTGTTAACCACCCAAGTTCTTTATGAAAAAGCACTCCATAGATCATTTTTAGACTCATAAGCATTATTAATTTATTGTGTTATTTTATACCCTAGGGTGACTTTTAAAATATGCCACCAAGTTATAATTTTCTCATATTGTACTCTAAAGTGTTGAAATTCTATCAATTTGTGTTTTTGGTCTAATTGACTGTACGATGGTTCATTAAACGCTTATTCGAGACAACATATATTTAATTTTTTCAACTTAGAATTACAATGTTACATTTTTGATACGAATCATAATAATTAAAATAAATAATCATTATCACATCGCAAAAAGTGCACATAAAAGACCGAGAACAACTTCATTAACGCGATCTAAGAGCCTTCATTCCATCTTCCTTTTTTATTCCAAACCAATTACTATCTTTATTTTATCCAATCAATATTCACTGACCATACCAAAACACTACTTTAATTCCACTGTGGGTCTCCTTTTGATAAGCATTTCCACTACCAACTTCCACAACCTCCCTTTAATTTTCAATTTTATTATATTTTTTAAGCTTTTTCAGAAAAAAAAAAAAATCTATATAAGAATATTGTCACCTCACCGCCCTTTTTTTATTTTATCAAGTCTGTCGATCCAATTCCAGTTTTAATAAACCAAAAAATCCCTATCAAAAATAAAATAAGGAGGCTCAAACTGCCTGCCTCTCTAGGGTTCTTTCTCGTCTCGCAAATCTAACCCAAAGACCGCAGCTTTGCCGAAACCATGGTGGATTTCTGTACCCCAACCACTGTAAAGATCTTCTCACCAGTTTTTCAATCACCATCTTAGCAGAAAAAGCTCACACAGATTTCAGCTTAAAAGGGTTTTTGCTCCTCTGTTTTTAGATTCAAATTTTGCGTCGGAGATTCAGTTCCTGATTAATTTTTAGGGTTTTAGTTTACTGGGTTCTGTTCAGTTTTCGCGTTCTTCGATTACATTTGAATATCTATACCTATTATATATATATATACACACATATCTATATACTGGGCATATAGAAGAAGAGTGTAGGAAATGGAGGGGTTTGAGAGTAGGGATAGTAATCAAGAGGCTGCCTCTTCTATCCCTCAAGATCTCAACCATTTGCAGCTTAATTCCTCAGGTTCGTTTCTCTTAGCTTTCGGGGATTCTTCTGTTATTGGTTTTTCATGATTTGCTTTGCTGTTTTGGTTATGTAGTATTGTTTTTGGATCTGGGTTCTGTTTGGCTGCTGAGAAAACTGACAATAAAAGTGGAAAATTTAAACTGTGAATTCGTATTCGAGAATTTGATACTGTTTACTGGAAACCAAATGGAACAGTGTTTGGATTGCTGTGCTGTTCACTTTGGTGTATGTTCGGTTCGATGTTTGAATGTAGTTATTAACTACTTTGTGGTTCAGCTTAGTATTTGAATAATTGTTGGACAAAGATTAGATATAATCTTGTGCTCGCCTATACTTTTTGGCAGCCAATATGAATATGGTCTTGGTGTGTCTTTCAGATAAAAGAATGTTCTGCAGTCATCCAGAGGTCTCCATACTTCATAATGTTTACTGTTTAAAAATAAGAAAGCTCTAACTTGGTTAATTATGTAATTAATTGCATAAAAGTTTCAATTCATACGTAAATGTATGCAAAGTTTTTTCACGAGTTATTTGGCTTATTGAGTAAATAGTTGCATGGTGCTTTCTTGGAAGGTGCTCTTTTCTTCTTCATGATGTAATTATTTGGAGTATCATTTAATTCTTCTTTTGACTTTCAGTTCTTCATTTTATGCAGGAGAGGTATTTGACGCATCACAGTATGCATTTTTTGGTAAAGATTCTGTTGGGGAAGTTGAGTTGGGAGGTTTAGATGAAGAAGAGGAGGCTCCAGTCGATGAGGAGGAGTTTCTATATAATAGACAAGAGGTTGAACCTTTTGTTCACTGATTTTTGTGATAATCCTTAAGTATATATGTGCAACCTGTTTGGTGCATGACCTATCTCTCTTTACCTCTTTCCTCTCCTCATATATATAAACTCTTTTTTATAGGTGTTAAATGGCAGAAGACAAAATTGCAATGGGTGGAACTAACTGTTTTTTTTTCTTATTGGCAGGGTGACATATCTCTATCTGATATTGATGACCTATCATTAACCTTTGAAAAGGTTAGTTTACTGCAAACTTAATGATGCAGGTGGTAAAGATGCATTTTGTTTAATACTCTTGATCAACATGAAGCGTGTAAACTAGTTTTGATGTTTAGTATTAGTTTTTTCATTCTGTTTAGTTTTCTGTTTCACAATGGGCGAGGGCATTGTGAAGCAAAAAATTCTGACAATTCAGTTGGGAACCAAGAGAAATGTGGGAAAACTGTGTTCAACATCTCTTAAGTGCCTGCTTCAATTTAACTTTTTAAAAACATTATGACAAGTCAGTTGTTCATTTGGTAAAACAGCGATTAGAATTATTCGTAATTTATGTGTAACTTAAGATGCAATGTAACATGAAGAGTGGTGCTGCTGTTTCCTTCATGTATTGTAGGGATAGAATGTTCTTATTATTTATTAATTCTTTTTATTTTTGGGGAAGGAGGGGTTAAAGGTGGGTTCGGTGAGTAGTTTGGACGGTTCCAATAACACAGCTCTCACTGACAATGGACGGAGTATAGCCCTACTGATAAAAAGATGAATCTTTGGTGATGGAGACCGCTCTTATTGAGGGTGGTCGGAGTATAGCCCTACTGAAAAAAAAGATGAATTTGGGTTTTATCATGGTAGAGCAGAATTGATTTTGAAGATCATAAGGTGGCTGCTAGGGAGAACTTGGGGAGATGGTGTTACATTTTGGGTTTTCTATGCGCATCATGGCAGCTGAATATAGGGACCCTTTTGATGATATATTTTCTTTTTTAATCTGGATGATCAGCTGCATGCTCATTTCTTTTCCTACAAGATAGTGTTGCTCCTCAGAAGAGATGGCATGCCTCCATCTTGCATTTGTTCTCAATCTTTCAATTCTTGCGATTGAATTCCTGCCCTTGTAAGATGTTTTATTTAATAATGTTGATGCATTAAAAAAATCATTCATTTCATAATTTAATATTACGATTTTGTACCATATGGCCTTTATATTTACTTTAGTGAACTGTGTCTAGTAATTGGGATTAATAGTATCACGACGAGAAGTAGTGGAGTCTGTTTATCTGGAGCTTAGCTTATCATGAATTTATGATCAACAGCAGTGTAGCAATATGAATGGAATGCACTGCCTGTGGTTGACCTTGGATATTTCTTTTGTACTGCAGCATTTCTCTTTGTCCAAACCTGTTTTCTATCATTAGGTTTATTGTTTTTGATTTGTCATATGTTTTGGGCAAAATTTATTGCACTGTGAGTTGGGGCGTGCTGGTTGTGGATAATTAATTTTCCTGAAAATGTGCTGTTTCTGTTGTGCTTATGGGTTGTACTTTTAAATTTTGCTTGGTAGGAAGCATGGATGCATGGTATTTTAGTTTCAAACCAGCGACTCATAAGCCTTTTGTTAAATTTTTGAACTTATCGTCTTTAGATTACCTATAACCAAGTATGTAAGTAGCCTGTGCTTATATTACGATATACCATTAAAACAGGCTATTTACGTACCTGGTAGTAGGAACTAACAGTTTTTTTTTTTTTCTTTTTTGTCAAAATTTTTTGTGGAGTTATAAGTGATGTAGAGAATTTGAAATTGGCAGCTAATATTAGTCTAAGCATTCTAATTCCATGCTAGCTTACAACATACCGTTTGAAGTTTGAGCGGTAAAGTTTCATTGGCTGTTTCATGGCTCGTGGCTGCATTTCCATTGTTGTTACTGTTTTGAGGTAACTTTTGGGTTTGTGTTCTAATTCATTTTTTTGGTTGCAGTTACACAAGGATGTTAGTGGACCTAGGAGTGCTGGAGTAATTGGTGATAGAGGATCCAGAGAAAGTGAGTGCATATGTCGCTTATCCCTTTTTTCTAATTTGCTGAAACCCTGCTTCAAGCCTGGTTCTTTGTAGACTGAATATCTTTTCAGTTGATTGCAAAGCCTTCATTTGTTTTTATGCTAACTCAGCAAAATTATTCTTATTTAATGGTTTCTGCTAGTGCTAACCCAGCCGCAATTAATTTATTCTTATTTAATGGTTTCTGCTGAAACTTTGTAAAGTATAGCCATAACCATAGGTAGGATATTGAAGTTCCTTTTAAGTTGGGTCTATGTTATATATGATGCAAAAAGTTTTTCTTCATTCTGTTTAAGCTTTGATGAAAATTGAACTAGAGGCGTGCTGTGTTTGGAATCAGTTCAAGTCCAATAGTGATGACTCGTTGATTTGAGTTCACTGTTGTGTCTTTGAGGACTGATTGAATATATATTTATATGTGTGTGTATATATCTGATACGTTGATGTCCATAGAAGCTTCTAATTATAACATGTTTCTTCCAGGTTCATCTGCCGCTGAGTGGGCGCAGGAGCATTTCCCTAACTGGATTGATGAAGAGATACTTGATGCTGAAAGCACTGAGGGCGGGAAACGATGGTCTTCACACCCATATTCTTCAGCTCATCCCGCAGAGTTGATGCCGCCTTTGTGCAGAACTTCTTCATATCCTGAGCCCCAACAACAGCAGCTACAGCAGCTACAGCAGCAGCACCATCAACATTTTTCCAGTGAACCAATTCTGGTGCCGAAATCAGTTTTCACTTCTTATCCGCCTCCTGGTGGCAGACCTCAGCAGGCTTCGCCGAACCGCCAAGCAAGCCACCTGAACCCATATCTTTCTGGTGGACCCCGGGGGGGATTATCTTCACCAAATCTATCTCCTTACTCTAGTTCTCAACTTCAACTGAATGGATTACCTCATGGATCACATTTTGGGGGAAATTTGCCTCAGCTTAACCCTGGCCTGTCTAATAGCCGACCCCAAAAGCAACGGGCCAATCAAAGTGGTGTTTATGGAGATCATCCTGGTCTTATGAACAATTTGTTGCAACAACAGCTAGCTCATCAGAATGGTTTAATGCCTCCACAATTGATGCATCAGCAACAGTCACAACCACTAGCTCATCAGAATGGTTTAATGCCTCCACAATTGATGCATCAGCAACAGTCACAACCTCAGGACCCTAGACTGCATCATCCAGTTCAGCCACCGTTTAATCATTTGCCGGCAATGCAGTCTCAACTATTTAACCCCCATCTTTCTGCATCCCCGCCCTTGATGAGCAAGTTTGAAGCAATGCTTGGTATGGGTGATCTTGGAGATCAAGGGCCAAAATTAGCTCAGAAAGGTAGACCAAATATGCGTTTTTCTCAACATGGATTTGATACAGCTAGCCACAGGAGGGAAGGTGGGTGGCCACAATTTAGGTCTAAGTATATGACAGCTGAAGAAATTGAAAATATACTCCGAATGCAGCTAGCTGCGACACACAGCAATGACCCATATGTGGATGATTACTACCACCAGTTTTGCCTTGCAAGAAAATCTGCTGGGGCCAAGTTGAAACACCATTTCTGCCCAACTCAATTAAGGGATCTTCCTCCTCGAGCACGAGCTAATACTGAACCACATGCTTTTCTCCAGGTTGATGCTCTTGGGAGGGTCCCCTTTTCCTCAATACGTAGGCCTCGCCCTCTTCTTGAAGTTGAGCCTCCAAATTCATCTAGCCCTGGCAACACTGAACAAAAGGTTTCTGAGAAGCCGCTAGAACAGGAGCCAATGCTTGGTGCTAGGGTTGCAATTGAGGATGGGCTTTGTCTTCTCCTGGATGTGGATGACATTGATCGTTTTCTGCAATTCAATCAACTCCAAGATGGTGGAACCCAGTTGAGGCGTAGGCGGCAGGCCTTGCTTGAAGGACTTGCAGGATCTCTTCAATTGGTTGACCCACTCGGGAACAATGGCCCCACAGTTGGGCTTCATAAGGATGATCTTGTATTTCTAAGGTTAGTCTCACTTCCCAAGGGCCGGAAGCTCCTGGCAAAGTACCTGCAGCTTTTATTTCAAGGTGGTGAGCTCATGCGAGTAGTCTGTATGGCCATCTTTCGTCATTTAAGGTTCTTGTTTGGTAGCTACCCTACTGATCCAGGGGCTATAGAAACTACAAGTGTTCTTGCAAGGGTTGTTTCATCATGTGCTCGAGGTATGGACCTTGGTGCACTTAGTGCCTGTCTTGCAGCAGTGGTTTGTTCCTCAGAGCAACCCCCCCTTCGCCCCCTTGGAAGCCCCGCAGGAGATGGGGCCTCTCTTATCCTCAATTCAGTTCTTGAGAGGGCAACTGAACTCTTAACTGATCCTCATGCTGCAAGCAACTACAATATGACCAATCGCCAACTTTGGCAGGCCTCCTTTGATGAATTCTTTGGCCTTCTGACCAAGTATTGTGTAAATAAATATGATACAGTTATGCAGTCACTGCTAACTCAGGCCCCTCCGAATGTGACTGTTATTGGCTCAGATGCAGCCAGAGCTATTGGTCGTGAAATGCCTGTTGAGCTGTTGCGTGCTAGCCTTCCTCACACTGATGAGCATCAGAGACAACTGTTGTTGGACTTCACGCAGCGGTCTATGCCCATAGGAGCATCTAACAGTCGTGATGGGGGAAATGGTGCTCACATGAATTCAGAGTCTGTGCTGAGCTGATGCTAAACCATGTGGGGAGATCTGAGAAACAGAATTTTGAGAAGGAAAATGATGTGAGAAGACATTCTATTGGATTGCGAAATTGTTGGGTTCTTTTCTACTCGTGCTTTTACTTGTGAGCAAAATGCAACATCTTAAGCAAATAAAGTGGGTGTTTAAGGGCATATATATGGTTCGGGTAAGTTTAGTAGTTTAGTGTCACATGTTTTCGTTTTCATTAATTTCATGCTTCTCTTGAAAAACTTGTAATCAAGCCTCTCTTTGTAATCCCTTCAAATCTTGAGGGACAGTCCGTCCTTTTTATATATTTTAGGAGGGGGATTGGTGGAGTAGATGTGTTTCCTCGACTTAGGAGCTTATTTTGATGCTCTGTTGTGGAATTTCTTAAGATAGAGATGTAGGAGGGCTTTTACTTTGATGCTTTGCTGTGGGATCCTTAAAATAGCAATGTAGGACGGGGGTATGTACAGTGTTCAGTGCAGTTGATCTCCCGCATTCTTGTAAGGAAAGGGGTGTGACCGGCTGCAAGCAACTTTTACTGATGCTGGTCTAGGGAAGGCAGACAGATGCAGCACAAAAGTCATTCCGGAAGATTGCTTTGTGAGCTGAAGCGACAAGTACTAGGTTGTTTGAGGGCAGTACCATTGTGCAGGCTCGCATTCGTTACTAAATAATATTCAAGAATGTCGGATGAAAGTCCTTGTTTTGGTTACGTTCGATTCTTCTACAGTAATTTCAACAGGGGGCCATTCAGGTATCATACAGGTTCTCGTCCTTTAGACATGCAGTAGTTTGTTCATTCTGTGCTGGTTGGATTTGAAACTTGAAAAATAGTATGTTACATTTGGCTGGTGCTGTCTGTATGGACGCCCTTTATCATCGTATTGTTTCAGTTGACTGTTAAGTTGTGATATCTTTTTAGATTCTGGGCGGCCTAATTTCGCGAGATATAGATTCTATCCTACAACCGGGTAATATATCTCCCCTAATTTGGAGCTGCTAGTTTACTGTTTGTTGGATGTTGCGTTTGTGTCTGTACCAATTATCTGAAAAAAAGAGGAAAAAAATCCCTCTTACAAGAAAATGCCATGATCCTTGTGATTTTAATGATTCATCAGTTGTCATGATCCTTGTGAATATAATCACTGCCCTTGCTCCTTTGACCAAAACCAAAAATCGGTGCCTTTGCTGTGTGTTTTCGGTTCAATATGCTAAGTTTTTGTTGAAACCTGAAACTTTCATGGTCAGTTGGGTAATTATATTAATTTTATTTTTCGTTTTTCATTTTACAAAGAGCAATCTTCTTCTGTTTAGGTCTACTCTATATTGTATGTCATATAGATCCAACTGTCTATATTTTAAGTTTTTCTTCAAAGATCATCTTTGCTAAAAATCTTCTAAATCCGGAACCATTTGACTGTTAGATTAAGTGGTAGCTGTGTTAGTGCTTCTTTTGAAAAATCGTATTCATTTATTTTCTTCACTAGAATTAGATGTTTTAGCGGTTTTGGATTTCTCTAATTTTTTGCAATGATGATTTATGAATGATGTACTAAAATATGGATGGTTTGGATCATTGAGAAAAGTTACAGAATAAGCATCGCAAGGTGTCTTTCAAATAAAAATAAACAAGGGATCCCTCAACAGAACAAATGTGAAAGAATTTACATATGGAATGGTACACAAACCAAAAACCGAGAATTGTTTCTGATTTTAACTTTAAAATTTTTGTTTTCATATAATTTCCTTCATTCAACCACCATTTCTTCTTAACACAAAAAAATAAAATAAAATAAAAAAAAAGCATGAATAAAAAAACAAGGAGGCTGCGAAGACGAACGTTTACCGTTGAGATGCTGCTAGGGTTTCACGTGAAAGATGCTTTCACCTTCAGTCAGAGTGTCGAGTGTGATGTCGTAATCACACTGCACATATATTTACCACCGCTGAAAACAAGAAGGTTTAGATGTCACTATCAGAAGATGGCACAATTTGCTGAAAAACAGTCACCAATTCACTCGAAAGGTAGATCCAAATCGATGCAATCATTTTTCAAGTTTTTCACACTTGGTGTGTTCGTGTCGACCAAATGCTCGAGGCCAAAAAGACCTTTTAATATTCGTAACAAGACTTTGGAGCAAACAATTACTTGCACTCTTCGCAGTTAGAATTTTGAAGGTCCCTATCTTTTAAAACATGTAAAAACAACCATAAGGTTTGAAATCATTACTCCATGGCCTGGCCTCTCTTGTCTAACTATCAAGTGAGCTGTTATTTGCATATGGTCTAATTTTTTAATGGATAAGGTGTTGAGTTTCTACACATATGTTCCGAGTTTGAAATTCCCACGTCTCTTAAATTATTGTAATAGTTTTAAACACTCTTCCTCTTCTTAATAATAATATATATTTTTTTAAAATATGAAATGTTACGTTTTTAATGTGACACTCGATAATTAACCACCGTTGCCCTTACGAACGCCAAATTGACGTTGAATGGATCATTTTCATCTCTTCCTACATAAAAAAGGTTTGGAATTTCATCGAGGTCTAGGTCAAAAGACAACAATTGATTTGATGGTAGGCTGAAAGAGAGCTCAATAGCGCAACAATTTTTAACCTTATAATTATTTCGTGAAGTTTTACGGATCAAACCGTCACAAACTTCAAACCACAAGGTAGTTTATAGATTTATCTTGTGTTTCCTAAAATGAAATGGATGATCTACCACCTTTCCCAATAAGCGAACCTAAATATGTAAGCAATCCACAACTCAACGTCCTATTTCTTCTAGGGAACTTTCAAGTGAACTTAAGCATAACAAGTTCTCCATATTTGCTTTTCTAATAGGCCCCATGAACAGATATTATGCTAAAAGCAAACCAACTGTTGAATAACTTGTGCATTCTGCAAAGCATACAATCCCAATCCACCTTTCTTTTTTACCTTTTTTTTTTCTTTTCTTTTTTTTTTTTCTGGAAATTTGAAGCACCCAAATTCGTACTAAACACAATACTAAGAATCTGTCACGAAGATTGAAAAATAAAATAGAAAAAAGGAAAAAAGGAAAGAGAAAATTGGAGTAAAGAATCTTGAACTTTGGTTCTTGATAAAAAAAATCCATGAATATTGATTTGTAAACTCATCATAGTGTGAAACAATACTTTTTTTCAGTAACATTGTTAGAACTTATGCAAAAAATAAAAGGTTTTAACAGGCAAATAAGATATATAATTAGTTATAACAAGTTACTAAAAGAACTATTACTCCACATTGTGACAACTGACAAACTCATGTATCAATACCACAAACTTTTACTTTCATGACCAAAACTCAATTTTAATTTTCTCAGCAGAAAAGGAAAGAGATATATTACATTTATAAGCACCATGTGCAAGTCCACAAGAAATGCAAAGAAAACAATAAATTTGAATACGTGCCATGCTAAATATATGTACAAATATGTTAAATAATAGAATGGGCCATGCTTCCAAGAAACAAGAAATTAATTCGAGCAAGAACAGTCCATGCTATCTTCAACATATTGGGGATCTCAATTCCATTTTTAATACCTCAAAAACCAATCAAATTCTGCATTTCTTCGGCCCTGTAAATTTTCCCCGCAAACAATGTTGATCCGGCCACCTTTTAAGCAGATAAAGGGGCATCAAGTTGTCTCGGTGGTCAATTAAAGTAAAGCCGACACTCAAGCGTAAAAAAAGATTGAGCAATTAAGCTAACAAAATATGCAAATCCATTTATTATGCAAATCCATTAATTAATTATACTGCTCCACCCAAGCTTATTCAACTTTAGACTAAAGATCCTAAAGATTGTTAATATATGAAAATCAGTAATTGAATTCTCTCCACGTGTTAAGACCAATCTAAAAAAAAAAAATCGGATATAATAGTCTTAGGAAGATCAATTATTTAGATTAATTTTATAAATCATATAATATGGTTGTTGATTATTGAATTAAGTGTTGATTAACGTTCTTATTTCTTGACACATCACTTGATTTGTATATTTAGTTTAAAAAATTGATCTAGGTACTCTTTATGTGTTCTGACACATAAAAACTAACTCATTTAAATTACAAAAGGAGAAGGCTAATATCAACTTACGGAACATGTTACACACATTTACAATAAAAAATTGGTTTCAGAGATACTAAACATACAATAATATGTATATAAATCACACGTTAGTACTCATGTATTGTCTATATAATGTCTATCTAGTTCATTTTTTTTATTAAAAATTTGTAACCAGTTCAATTTGTTTGTGTTCTCGAACGAAAATTATTGTATGATACTATAACACAGCAAAGCCGTTTGAATTATAATTGAAACACATATTACAATACGAATAGACGATAAATTAGTACTTTATGATGCAATAACAATAATTCATTTGCATGTTATAATACATTTGGATTGGCTATGCCATGTGAGTCACTACCTTCTAGTGGGAGAAATTTTTAGTTATGATGGGAATATAAATAGTACACCACGTGTTTTAATAGGAGTGGTGAGAAATTTTATTTTTTAAGTTATTAATTTTTTAGCACACATATCACACCATTCGTATAATGACACGTCTTGTACTATCTCATGTACCGGTCACACTGAAAAATCTCTCTTCCAGTAGAAAGAGAGTAATTTTCTCAATCTAGGAGTACTTTTGTTTTTTTGTTTTTTGAACGAGACCACCCAATAAACAAAGACTTTGGTATTAATGCTTCTTCCTACTTACACTGCTCTAAGCGTAGGAAACAGATTTAGACAGCTACCACTTCCCCACTACTTTCACTACTCTCTCTTCAAAAATGGGTTCCTCAGAATTCTCTCTCTTCCAACAATCACCAAAACGATCCGCTTTCCACAAAGCCCCTTCCCTAATAGCAGATGGCTTTCTCTTCGTCGGCGGTGCATCATTGGCTCTCTCTGTGGTCTGGGCTCTCCTAACCTTCATCAACCCCACCACCATTAGCTTGGACAGCATCATCGCCTGGAACGCGGGTCCATGCGGACCCGACTTGAGCTCCGACTCGCCGGAGCCCACGTTCTACGACGACGAAAATCTCAGCTACGCGTTTGGGGAGCCAGTGAAGGATTGGGACTCGAAGCGCAGAGAGTGGCTGAAGCTGCACCCTTCATTCGCCGCCGGAGCCGCCGCGGATAACAGGGTTCTTCTGGTAACTGGGTCCCAGCCCACCGTGTGCAAAAACCCAGTTGGTGACCACTTACAGCTGAGGTTCTTCAAGAACAAAGTTGATTACTGTAGGATTCATGGGCACGACATATTTTACAACAGTGTTTTGTTGGATCCCAATGGTACTGGATTTTGGGCCAAATACCCGCTATTGAGGGCGGCTATGTTGGCTCATCCCGAGTCCGAGTGGATCTGGTGGGTCGACTCAGACGCGGTTCTCACCGACATGGAGTTCAAGCTTCCGTTGGAGAGGTACAAAGACCATAACTTGGTCGTGCATGGGTGGTGGAACATGGTGTATGAGCAGAAGAGCTGGACGAGCCTCAACGCTGGGGTTTTGTTGATAAGAAACTGTCAGTGGTCATTGAGCTTGCTGGATAAGTGGGCCAGCATGGGTCCACAGGGTCCGAATCCTGAAAAATGGGGGAAGATCCAAAAGTCCCTGATCAAGGACAAGGCGTATCCGGGCTCTGACGATCAGTCGGCTCTGATTTATCTCCTGATCAAGGAGAAGTCGAGATGGGCGGCTAAGATTTACTTAGAGAGCGAGTACAACTTGCATGGATACTGGCTGGGGATAGTGGACGGGCTTGATGGGATAAGCAAAGGGTACATGGAGGTTGACAGGGAGGTGGATTTGCTGAGGAGGAGGCATGCTGAGAAGGTCAGCTTGTTTTATGGTCAAATGAGAGAGAAGTACATGAGAGAGAGAGGGATTTGGAGAGAGAATAAGAGGAGGCCATTTGTGACACATTTCACAGGGTGTGAGCCGTGCAGTGGAGAGCACAATGGAATGTACACTTGGGAGGCTTGTTGGAATGGGATGCAAAAAGCTTTGAATTTTGCAGATAATCAAGTGCTTAGGAGA